CGACTCAACAGTGAAGATCATGAATAAAGTAAAGGATAATTGATGTGTGATTTGCAAATGAAGTATTCAATGTATGGTTTTCATATCTTATGGAAAAATTCTGTAATTTTGTATTGAACAATAAATTGGTCTTCCAAACCTGAGTTCTTCATTAACTACATCATTTATGTAAGAAATAAACATTACACTCAATGGATAATAATTCACATTTCTTGGTAAGATCGTAGTCAAATTTACTTTGCATCTTGTTATAAGAACTGTTTGAAAATCATCAGTGCTTTTGATTTCGTTATCTAAGAGCGAAATTCCTTCATAAATTGAATCATCTATTTGCAAAAAGTTCGATCGATTCTAGTGTGAATTGGTTACAGTTGAAGAAATATAAATCATTCCATGCTTAATAATTCATTTCTAGTTTATGTTGTGAAATATCAACTTTGTAGAAATTATATGCTTATCATTTTAGTACATAGAATTCCAAAATTCACTCAGACAGTATTCACCTTCGAAACCAAGTTTTCTAACTGGATCAATGGAACTCTGATTGGTAGTCTTTCTCTGAGTGATGAAAACTCCTCCTTAGCATCATGTGGAAGTGTTCAATTTAACATTGTACCTGGTTCAAACTACTTACCAGTATCTATCGATGGAACAACTGGTACTTTGAAAGTAATTGACAGTGTTTATGGAACGATCAAGAATAATCACACCATCACTTTTCAAGTGACAGTTAGGAATGCAAATACTTCCTTGAATATATTTGATGATGCAACGGTTAACATTCTAATTGATGGAAAGTATTCAGAGGAAGAAACAGAAAGTGAGATCACTGCAGTCAAGAGGGTATGATTTCTGTTCATTGTAGTGTTTTTAAAAAAATGAAACTGCGATTTCTGTCATCCATCTCACATTTGGTAAGCTGTCACTGAAAGAGATTCATGATTTGTCTCATTTGACACTGTAATAACGTGTTTCTTTCAAACAACTATACTAATGTGACCAGCAACAACAAAAACAGAATATCAACACGATTAGTGGTATATGATCACTGAAGGCTACCTCCAAAACAGATGAAGATCAAATTTTCATAAAACTCTAAGAATAATCATTTTTGTCAAAAATGTTAACTTCAAAATATGAACACTATTTAAAATAATGTTATTAGTAAGAATTACATGTACGTATAATTGTCTTTGAATTCGTACGTGTTACACATTCACGTATCCTACAAAATAATGTGGTGTTTAAGATAGCAACACTTATTTATTATTGACTTCGACGGTTCCAATGTTAATGAAATTGGATAGTGTTTTCATTAGGACGTAGTTATCCGATTCTGTAAATGTGCACAGTAAAATATAGAACCATGATGTATACTATCCAAATTAGTTATGATTTCATGGGTTTTGATGAGTAATATCAGATTTTTCTCTTTATAGGGCTTCATTATTCCACCGAATACTACCCGTGTTACATTTTCCAGAGTATACATCCAAGATAATCCAAATTATTGTCTCTTCGATACATGGTTTATTGATTCCGTAATTGTCCTCCCACCTGGAAATCACAGTTTGATCATGAATTTTTCTGGTCCGTCTTTAAATAGTGTCTATTATGGATATATACAATATTTGTTCGCCTACTACAATGGGACAAACATAGCAAATAATTATTCTGTGAAGTTTAATAATCTCACATACTTGAACAATAATTTCTCGGTAAGGATATGAACATAAATAAGCTTTGATGTATTCAATACTTTTAGTTAATTATTGTTAATATATACATGATGAAGGAAGTAGATTTTTACACAGCAATGTGGAATTGTTAACGCTCCTTTATTTAGCTTGACTAAGGGCAGTTGGAGCATTTTACGAAATTTTATTTTCATTTATGATGAAGTCGTATCATGTTTATAATAAAATTTGTCAAATTTATTCTTTCATACTTCACTCTTGACGTTCAAACTCAATAGTGAATATCTTTCTTTTATTATTCTTAATGGTGAAAATTATGAATTCATTGGATTTTGTTTAAATTACATTGGATTGTCTTAGACAAGAAGATGAGCTAGTCATTAGTTACTATGGAAAGTATACCGATATGTGCAAGGAATTATCCCATGTTTCAATGAAGAATGAGAGTTCTGTTTCATATTAAATTTTCAATATACCTGCTGATGCTGAATATGTATTCGAGAGAAAAAGGTTTTTACATAGTTAAAACCAACTTTTAAATACCCGCAGTGAGATTACTAAGATTCAGTTTCTTACTTACGCTGGTTACCCCCAACAGCTGTTTCTATTTCTAGACGTAATGTGTTCTTTGGTCTCCCTCCCCTCCTTTGGCCTTGAGGATTCCAGGTAAGGACTTGCCATGTGACGCAGTTGAGTGCTTTCTTCAACGTGTGTCCTATCCACTTCCAGGGCTTCTTCCTGATTTGTTGGTTGACAGGTTTTTGAGTTCCGGATGCTCTTCAATTGTAGATATGCTGCTCTTGCTCTGCCGATCCACGTCTTCACATCTGTATCAGATCCACCGTGCTCGCCAATGATGCTTCCCAGATATGTAAGGAGTTTTGCTTCCTCTAAAGCTTCTCCGTCAAGTGTGATTCGATTGGTGCATGTTGTATTGTGTCGGAGAATCTTATTTTTTGTTGTTGCGTGTGTCATAGAAGAGCCGTAACATCTGCGAAGTTTGGATCGTCCAACTACATCCTAGCTGTCCATTGTATCCCATGCTTCCACGCTATCAAATGCTTTCCCATAGTCAGTGAAGTTGATGTAGAGTGATGAATTTCATTCAATTGGTTGTTCCACAATGATCTGTAGTGTTGCGATTTGGTCTGTACACGATCGATCATTACGGAATCCAGCCTGTTGATCTCGAAGTTGGGTGTCTACGGAGTCCCTCATTCTGTTTAACAACACCCTGTTGAAGACTTTTCCTGGTATTGAGAGAAGAGTGATGCCCCTGTAGTTATCACACTTACTGAGATCGCCTTTCTTTGGTATCTTGATCAGAAGTCCTTCTTTCCAGTGTGTTGGTATTTGTTCTTCATCCCTAATCTTACTGAAGAGAATGTGGAGTATCTTAGCACTTACTGCTACATCTACTTTCAGTGCCTTTGCTGAAATGTTGTCTGATCCCGCTGCTGTGCCGCTCTTGACTTGTTTGATGGCCATGCTGATCTCGTCAACTGTTGGTGGGCAAATATCGATTTCGAGGTCCGGGGATGCTGCTTCGATGTTAGGTGGGTTCAATGGGGCTGGTCGATTCAGTAGTTCCTTGATGTTATCTACCCACCAGTTGCACTGTTCTTCAATGTTGGTGATTACTTAACCTTCCTTGCTTTTCACTGGTGTTTCTTGTTTACGATAATTTCCAGAGAGTTTCTTTGTTGTATCATACAACTGTCTCATTTTTCTTTCTCTTGAAGCTTCTTCTGCCGTCATTGATAGATCTTCCACATATTTACGTTTGTCAGCTCTGATGCTCCTCTTCACTTGCTTGTTTGCTTGTCTGTATTCAGCTCGTGCTATGGCTTTGTCTGTTCTTGTTCGGTTGATATTAATTGCTACCTTCTTGTTCCATCCATTCTTTGTGCTTCTTGTGCTTCTTGTGGTCCAGAACCTCCTGACATGTTGAAGTGATTGCCTCCTTGATCCCTTTCCAGTTGTTCTCCATGCTAGTTCCCTCTCCATTGAGTAGATCGTGAAAGGTCTGAAACCTGTTGCTGAGGGCTATCTTGAATTCGTTGGATCTGTTAGTAACTTGAAGAAAGGCCGTATTAAACTTTTGTGATGTTTCCCACCCAGTTGTCCTGTGCTTCTTAAGTTTTAATTTCATCTTGGCGACCAGCAAATGATGATATGAGGCTATATCAGGTTTGCAAATCTCTCACCATTTTCGTTCCTTTCTCTCAGTCCATGTCGTACCATGATGTCTTCGTATCCGGTGTTGTCCATTCCAACATTGGCATTTACGTCTCTCATCGGAATGGGCAAGTCCTTTGTCGGGCATTTCTCAACGATTGACTGCAGCCTACCGTTGAATCGATCTTTAACGTCCTCAGTGTAATCAATGGTAGGCGCATAGCATTGGACAACGTTCATTGTAATGCCCTCTTTCTTTGTTTGAAGAAGGAGTTAATGATCCTTGGTCCATAAGATTCCCATCCTATAAGTGCTTTCTGTGCTTGTTTGGATAGTATCAGTTCAACTCCTTGTGTATGTGGACTATTTTCTTCTTCATGGTCAGAGTATAACAGCAGCTCCCCTGAACCTAGTCTTTGTTGTCCGACCTGACTCTAATACGTCTCACTGATTGCAAGCACCTCCAGGTTGAGTTTCCTCCTTTCTCCATCAACTTGGACTACTCTCCCGGTCTCCCACATCGAAAGAACATTACATGTACCTAACTAATGGTTGCTCTGGTTTTCAGAATGGGCATCAGCCTCGTGAAATAAAAGAAACTCGGCTTTCACCATCATACGTCATAACTCTTCTAAATGAAGACATCCTAACTCCCAGGGCAGAGTTAAAATGTTTTGAATAACTTTTTCCGGTTAGCGTTGTTTTGGCGAGTTAGTTTTCTACTTTATCATGGCATTGGACCGGCAGTAACCTCAGAGGAGTTCCAGGTGGGGTTTTCAAAGACCAGTAATAGATAGATTTTCTGATTTTCTATGTTTGTTTTATTTTATTCGATAAATCAGCTTTTGGTTATAAGTGAGTTGACATGCCGAACATATATAGTCAATCTACAAAACTGAGGAAATATTCGATAAAAGATGTCACATCAAATAACTCAACATTGCTTAAAATCCGTTCTGTGAATGGATCTTAATTGGTTTGAAAATGCTCTAGTATAGCTTGGTAAGTTGATATTAACTTATATCACTGGTGATGAATTAAAGATATAAAAATAGGGAATTTTCTGAGAACTCTAGCCTTTAATCCATTCTTGTTAATTGTTTTCCGTAGCCTTCGGAGTTCACAATGACAAGTCAGATATGTGTTTCATCCTCTCCTGCCAATGATTCAAATGATTTCAGTATTATGATGCGATTCAAAGTCGGTCTTTTTTCTGGAGTGTCGATCCCGCCTATTGGTACCAATTTAACAATCAAAATGGAAGCATTGTTGACTCCAAAGCTTACCGCAAATATTTCCATGATAGTGTCCTCAAACTGTCCGATTCAATATGATTCAGTTAATTTTACCAAGTGCCCACAGCAAGTGGAAATAGGTGGGATTTATGAATATTCTGTAAACTACTTTATAAGTAGACCGATTGGTGACTACGTGGTGAGTGATAAGTATGGTACTTGAACATTATACAGTTTTATGGAAAGAAGTTGTTAAGTAATAAGACTTCTAACTTAATTGTTGCATACTATGATGTGCCTCATTGCGAAAAATACATTTGTACAACACCAACAGAAAATATATGGAGCTTTATGTCACAAGACATTTCAACAACTATGACTGTGTTTTGAGGATGAAAAGGATGTTTGTCGTTCCGAGACAAGGAATGAAATAAATTTATTTATCGATCACCTAGACTTGCTTGTATCTACTAAACCATATCAAAACCTCTCTCTTACAAAATTGGCCATTGCTGGTAGTCTGTGTCCCATTTAAATCTACCACTTATTCGTTATCAGAATAATCCAGGTTTGAACTATCAGTAAAACAAAACTGTTCACGAAAGTCAGTAATCAAGACTGCTTGTTTCCTCCTCTCAGGTTTCGCTAACATGGTAAATTTCATTTGGTCATCAATAATACTTATGAGTCAATCTTCAGTACAGATTATACACATTCTTAGTTCGCACTTTCGAATAATGAATAATATTAGTTAGTTTTCGTACCAACACCTGTAATCTGAAGGTGATGATTAACTCAAAAGCACTAGACGAGACTATTAAAACATACCAGGTCCTGATGAACACCTCAAAATTACAAACTAAATAGAAAACGTGTCACGTTTTGATGACAGTTACTCCAGAGAATGTCAACTAGAGTACTGATAGTTAAATAATGCTGCAAAATAGCAGAAAAGTGAAAGTTAGACGTTTGTGAAAATCCAATCTTATTCAGTTATTCTGTTTAAGATCTAATGATTCAGCTAACAGTGTAAATAAGTGAGCTAAATTACGTGAATTAAAGAGTATCTAAACTTAATCAAGATCATTTATCAAAGGTTATTCTACGTTTGCTGAAGATCAACAACATTAAAGTATGTTATATTGAACGTCTCTGTCTTTACCACACTCAACAAATGCACTGAATGTCATCCAGTGTAATTCTTTAAATTTTGATAAATTCTGATATGATATTGGGATAAATTTCTAAACCTTTAAATCATTGGAAGAAATACAAGAATAATTGACCACTCATTGGAAAAAAAAGAAGATCTGTTTAGCAGAAGGACAGATGAATAAAATCAAATTCCATTGAGGTTTATCGCACATCGTACAGCCATAGATCAAAATCATAGATTATATAACATCTAGAAACTTGAAGTAGGTTGATATTTTTCTCACTGTTACACCATGTTCGAACATTTCGAAACTAATAATGCATGTATTCATTGATACTAATTGTGCTCTTATTTTGTTCATAAACATATTCCACTATATGATCCACATGATGTGCAGATCAAAATGAGTTCAACTTACACGACGATATCTTTAAGCTCTCTATTTAATCATACGTCCTTATCTGGATCCGACCACTTTACATATTTTACAATAAACTATTTAAGGAGATGATCGGGTAAAAACGTTAGACGCCAATTTTTAGTGCTGGCTAGTCAAGCAGATGTGATGTAGAAACGATAGATGATCATTATTTTCATAACCAACATGGTTTAACTGAAGCACCCAATAATTTGAAGTTATTCCGATCCTAAACGGCTGCTTAGATAGAATAGAAATTCACAGAGTTTAAACTGGAACTCTAAAAATCCATTCTCACTGGCAGATATAGTGTCACTTAATGATGTCCAACCTGAGTTCCAGGATTCGCTGAAGTAAAATGATTGCCATAATTCAGTAGTGAAAAGAAAAACAAACAGTCATCAACTAGCGGATAAATATACCACATCATTATTTCACAGACTACTAATTACTTTAACAAATAAAGTGTAACTAATTTCTAACAAAGCAATAAAATACGAACATGGTAATTTTTCAATAAGATAATGACAAGACTTCTACAACATCTGAGATTATCACAGTCGATAACAACGTTGTACTAACTTGTTCATACAAAATTAAAAGAGTACATTTCAATATCAATCATAATGTTGTAGGACATTTAGTAGATACATTTGAACATAAACACTTCACTTTTGTATGTTCACACAATATAAAACTGAACGTATTCATTTCTTTAAAGCTACATGCAGAAAAAACTTACTGTTGTTTCCTAATAAATTGTTTGATAGTTCACATTCACTACTGATGAATATAGTGCTTCGATTGGACATATATCTTTAACGCTACCTACAACATTCTCTACATACCCAGAAGGTTACAAAATAGATACTCAACAATTGGTTGGTAGCAACTTCGTACTGACTACCATTGGCTACGTCAGCGTTTCAAATCTACAAAATCCAGGTAAGTTCATCGTATAATTATTTCTGACGTTAAACACTGTGTTTTTTGTATAAACCATATACATTATTATTTGTATAATATATAAACTGTTTTGTTTAGTCTAGCTGTGTCCTGATGCTTCACAACTAATCACGATGATCGAAACATGGTACTCATATACATTGTATTTTCGAAACATTACATATTTTCCTGTATGCATGTTTATGAAATTAAGTATGCACTTGTCGAAACAGTAACAGGCGCCTTTCCATTTTGCTGATACTTATTTACATATTTACCGAGTTTTCATATTTCATGTCATTAAGGTAATGGATGATCTGATTTTAAGTACTTATTCTACTACTTGCATTTCGGTATTATGCATTATAGATATCTTCCATTAATAATCATTTTGGGCTCACCTGAACATTTTCATAATTTTTTCCCAGTTTATATTTCTTCTATGAATCACTTTTTTTTACCGTCGGTGTGATGGCCTCGTCAAAGTTATGTTACTAATCAATTTCTAACAACCATCTATATTTGGTGTCGAAATTTGTGCACAGACAAATCAGTGAATAAAACATTTTCAAGCTTTGATGATGAATTTGAATAAGCTCAGTGTCTATTCCACTGTCTTTCCCAGTCAAAAATAGAAAAGTGTTCGGCTGTTTTACTTCAGAAAGCCATTAAATATGACACTTGTAGTGTAGTGGTATGATAGTCTCTACGTACTAAAGATATTTATTACTGAACGGAATTGACAATAGATGTTGTGAACAGTCGTAAATGCATAAAGATGGAGTGATTAAGAGAAATGAAGATGATGATAGGAACTGAATACATTCCGAAAAATCATTGATTTTAAGATATATTTTACTGGTAATCATCTTGTGAACAATGCATGATTTTGGAGTTGTAAGCAAATAAATAAAACGTTGACCGATAGATAAACATATTGCTACTTACGTCCCTATGTTAGCTGAATATGAGATCAGATTATTGACACGAATCTCCGAGTGAAGACAATGCTAATGTCAAGGAGAACTTTCGCAAACTTAAGTGTTCACATATAGAAATATGGATCACAAAAATGAGCATGGGTAAAAGTCACTTCAAATATATGCTCCTGTATGATACGAACTTCACAGGCCTCTCAATGAAATCGAGACCTGATAATTGAGCTTAATACCTAAATGCTATATCAGTTTACAAGTGAAGGACGAACGCTACTGACCTAAGGCTATCTGCTGGCAGTTTCTTACACATTTCACTATCAGATATATCTACTTTTGTGTGATTTTATTTAGATTCTCAATAATCCTGCTACTTGTAACACTACTTTATTTTGTAATACATTTGTCTGAAAACTACCAAACTTCTACTCCTTCGCTGTTTATCATGGAATCAATAAAGATTTATTCATACTGAGAGACTCCTGACTTCTAGTTTATAGCTAGCGTCTATTGTCATAATGAAATTAAAAAGAATAAAATAGTATGGTTTGACCGGATTGTGTTCAATTATAGAATTTAACCACTATCAAATTGTTACTAACCTGTTTAGATCAACGGAGATACTTTTATTTTTGTTGTTATATCTTAAACTTTGTACATCTTACTTATCATCAAGCTGTCCACTGAAATCAAATGTCTCTTGTTCAACTTATTTCTTGAACAAAAATTAATTATTATGTTCATAGTATGCTTTGTTGAGGTTCCTATGAATTGCACTAGTATGCGTCGTTCAGGGTTATGATTACACTCAGCTCTGTAATATAGGAACACAAGAATGACCTTCAAGTCTACAGAAAGTTAGCTCAGAAAATGGAAAGAGTAATGTGGAAAACTTCACTCAAAAAGTACTTATGGTAATCGTTTCAGTGAGAGCATACTTTAGGGACAAGTCAATCAGAATTAAATTTCAAGTTTCAGAGCGAAATTCAAATACTATGTATGACGTGCGGTAAAAATACTTTTGTGTACTGTCCAAAACATTCACAATGGTTACAAAAAATCACTGTATGCAAACATAGATTAAAATTGATAATGCTAAACGTATCAAAATTATAATTCTGTCTCCTTTAATTGTATATAGCAGGCAAATCGACACTATCCATAAATTCTAACTCTAAATCTTTAATCCTAAATCAAACCTATACTAAGTGGAACTTCATTTTATCTACTCTAGTATTTTTGAGTGAAATTCACTCATACATATGACAACAGAGAAGTTTTAAATTATAACTGATGCCACTTCGTAAATAAAACTCTGAAGCCTCAATCATTATCCTAAATACCTATCACTAACGAAGAACAGTGTGAAAACTCTTAGAAATCGTTTAGCGTCATTTTAAAGATTGGAGAAGACAAATAATCTCTATCAATACGGTTGAATTAATATCTCTGTTTCTTCAACTCACAGGCGGAACAGCAGTTAGAAGACAATAAAATATTCATTAGTTATCTGAAATGCATTCACACAATAATGTCATTGTCTTTCTTTCATAAACTAATTATTTTTAAAACCTGCTTCCCGATTAGTCTAGCAGTGGCTGGAAATTCGGTGCAGTTTTTTCAAAGTCATCTATAAAGTATGCCTTCATTATCGATTCAATGTCCACAGACGAAAAAATGTTAGGCTTACTGTGTTGCCATTATTCGCATAGATTCTGGCGTAACTCTCAGGGTAATAACTTATAAGCTATAAACAATCATTTTTTGTTCGATAAATCAAAAATCATGATTTCTTTCATCTTGGTACTACCACAGTAAACGAGAGGTCTTCTCTCAATTCAGTTTGGAATGTCTTAAGTAATTTATGGATATGTAAATATAGAGCTTTTATAAGTCACAGCTATGACAGTTCATTTGCTGCTATTAAATATACTAATATAAGCTGAGTAATATTCTTCGATTTAAGTAAGAGCAAGAGAATAGAGAAAACTATGATTTCGATTTAGTTGTTAGCTTGGTAAAGAAGGTAGTCAAGATTGAAGCGGCCAGGATTTCAATTTCCTAGAACACCACCTTAGACACGAATATACTGTCTAAGTAATTTTGTAAGTACCATCAAAACGTCTTGAAATTGTATGCACAATCTTGTCCAACAACATAAAATTCACCACTTTTGAAAAAAAGTGAGGTTAGAAGACGATGAACTGCTCAGTCGTTAGTTTTTTCATCCATGAATATTTAGCTTTCCTAATATAATTGCACTCATAAATATGTTACTGACTAGGGTAAGTTAAATTACAAAATCACAAGTAGGTGACAACACCCTTTCTGTCCACCACCTATCGGAATTTTAATGAATGATATACTGGTTATTTCCTCTTTCAAGAATAATTAATATTTGCAGATGAATATCACAAAGAGAAGCACCGACTGTAAGATAGTGGAATATTCCTCGTTTCAATTTAGTGAACTGCTTTATTTTGACTTGAACGCCAATTATATAATGGTTGTTACAAGTGCCTATCGAACACAAATTCATCGTGACATACTGAACCGTCAATTACTATTGCAAAAGAATGTAATCCAGTCCATAACAACTCATGATTTACAATATTTAGAAAATTACCGACGAGTAAAGTTATTTTTTACTGATTCGTTCCTCATTTTACAAGACCTTCCATAGTTAAACTAATAAAAGAAGTATAAATGAAAACTCCTCACCCTTTTAACTTTGATGAACAGTGTATGAAATTATCATACATTCTAGGCTTCCTCTCTCGGCATCATTGATTGGATCCATTGTTAGAAATTTTGCGATGTTTTTAAACTACTGTAGGGGGATCATGGTGATTCCTGAATTTCCGAAACACAGACTGATCTTCGTTGAACAATTATTAAAGACTAAGAAGCACTGGAGAGTTACGTTCTTTTCTAAAAGAAGACTTCTCACCAGTGCGCAACCACCATCTCGCTGTTGTGAATAGAAACCAGGAACCTCTGTGTGCCGTGCAAACGTTTAACCTCTAGACCACTCAGCCTACATCCAATAGCTCACTTGCTAACCTTCAATCAATTCATAATGTCTTCCAGTGTGCTTGGTGTGTAACTGCTTCATATATGATACGGTTAAACTCAGTCAGATTGAGAGATTATGACTTTAATATATTCAAGGTGACTACCATTATTTACCATTACAGCTCTTACGCCTATGAAGCATATAATTACGCTTAGTTGACTATCTTTTACCTTTAGTCGGTCTCATTTTTTTTTATAAAGAGCTCACTATCGTGGTAAAAAACAGGAAAAATAAACTCTTATTTTTAATTCTATTTCATTACTGAACTTTCGAGATTTACTCTAATAAATCTTATTGACAAGCATTCTTACTTTGAATATTTCTAACCCGAGTCATTATGATGAGCGATTCTTATTTTATATTAATATGTACATATTCACATTTAATTTAAAATATATTTTAGGTGTATATAACACTACCTTGCCAATAACCAATCGATCAGTTCTTCTAACAGTTTTTATCCAGATATATAAAACAAGTTTGGTATCCGTTAAGTTTGAAGCGAAAATCTCACCATTAGGTGAGAATTCTACAGTGAATTTTTGTGAGAGCCAAGCCATAGCATTTGCAAGTCCTAATATGGTAGGTTTACAGTACAAACCATGTTAACCTCCTTTTTAACGAATAGGCTTCGAGCAATATCATAACATTAAAGGACACCTCAATCGTGAATGAAGTTGAAAAGTTGCACTTCTTCAATTTTCAACTGAGTATTATACCTTATGCAAGAGTAGCTTATGGTATTGCGATATCTAATTCTGGTAAACTACAGGTGGAACTATGTTCTGTGGATTACTTGCTAACAGAAAACAATTCAATTAAGAAAGTAAGTTCAAAATATCATACAGCTTGTTTCCATTTTCTGTGGTTTTTAAAAGACTCTCATAAGGAAGGACAAACTTTACCACAATAGTGTCAATAATTTTAAAGCACAAATAACAGTAGACTCGTATATATAGTTATATGGAAAATATATGTCTACAGGAGGCTAGGAAAGATTGTATTATAAATTGATTCGATAATAAATAACAAATGAGGTGACATACTAATCAAGGGGTAAGGAAGAGAATAAATTCCATAGTTGAAAGCGTGACTCAATTGAATCTAGACAATTATGGTAAACTTGGAAGCACTAGACAGCCGTTTCGTCCTATTATGGGACTCCTCAGCATTGCGCACCCACGATTCCGCACTCGCGAGATTCGAACCCATAACCTATCAATCTGGAGCCAGAACCCTTAACCGATAGACCACTGAGCTGGCCGGCATCCAACGGTGTTAATGTCTAACTTCAACTGATCCACGAAGTTCAATCCACGTTTGTCGTGAGATATCAACTCATTGAAGACAATTGGTTAACGGTTAATCAACTTCCTGGGTTCTAATCTCGCGAGTGCGGAATCGTTGGTGCGCAATGCTGAGGAGTCTCATAATAGTATGAAATGGCTGTCTAGTGCTTCCAGGTTTTCGATGGTTGTCTAGCTTCAATTGAGTCACGCTTTCAACTATGGAATTTATTCTATTCCTTACCCCTTGATTAGTATGTCACCTCATTTGTTATTTATTATCGAATCAATTTATAATGCAATCTGTCCTAGCCTCCTGTAGACATATATTTTCCATATAACTATGCATACGAATGTACAGCTTAAGTAAATGATTTCGTCGAAAAGAAAATTTTCTTCTCTGAATTCTCTTTTTCAATTAATGTGTGTGACATTATGATTCATTTTAATTAACAGTAGAATATTTGATGCTTGATAAATGACTCCAGTATGATTGTATTTGAATCATTTATATTACCTGTCACTTTATATTGAGGTACCTCAAGTCAATAAACAGCTAAATGGTAGGGAAAATCAAAACTCATTTATAATTGAAACACATTTTTCAGGTGTTTTATTAACTTGGGATTCCAGTGTTTCGTAAGTAATAACAGTTGAACCCTATAAAGAAATGATCCATTAGAAAAAATATAAACAAACAATTATAAACAAACAGTTGGGACGCATAAAATCTTTTAGTTTTATATCATCTCATTAACGTAATCAAATCAATTTTTATTCCTCATTATTTGAATCCACATGAAGGCATTAAGACTGGTATGTTGGTTATTACAGTGGATAACAAATTGTATAAATATGGATAGAAAAGCTTATTCATCTAGTACGTTGAGAATATATTTTCTCCATCATATTAATCACGTGAAAAAATTAAGTACCCAAATTTTATATAACAGACGTCCTTTTTAAGGTTGTAGTTGACGTAGATGTATACTGGTAAGAAGACAGTTATTTTGGAAGAATTAAAAGATCATCCATACAGATTTCCCTACAGGTTAACTAGGAATGTTTATGAAGACGAAAATAATAAGAAGGCTGAGACAGGATTCTATAAATAGATTGCGTCATAGATAATTCAGTTCAAAATGCAGAAAGAAGATGAATTATTTGAGTGAAGTTTAGGAACAAGGTCAGAAAGTAAAATCATAATTTATATTTGAAGAAATGTAACGGCTTCTGAAACTATTGACCACTAGGATGATTATTTTCTTCCGAAGTCAGATAGGTTAGATGAACATGTTAACAGTACCTCAGATGGCATCAGCTTTACTAAGGCGGTCAATCTATTGATCACTTAAAAGCAGTTTACGAGTTAGTTTAATGAAACAGCGTAATTCTATAAAAATCGTTATATTTGGAAGGTCAACACATTATGGAAAATGTCTAGAAAAGTAAGTTAATACATAATTGATAAACATTTAAGACAGTTGCTAGTAATCTAATATACAAAGTTTATCACTCCATCACGGATAAATAGATTGTCGAATCTATTGAAGCGTTTACGTCGTCAGATTGAGATACGCGCACAATCAAAGTTCACAAAGCAACGATTTGTCTAAAATAGAGGTTGTTTAATGAATAATATCCAAAGATTAGTAACCAAACTCAACTCAACATGTGAGGTGTCTAAGGCGTTTACCGTATCTTTTTGTCTGAAATAACAAAATGCTTCCTGTAACAATCACATAAAGAATAATTGCAACATACGATAGTGCAAAAGACAAATGTTAGTTATATCTAAACTTGGTAACAGTTTACCAACAAACGAAAGCCGAACCAAGAGCAAACAATAAAGAAACTGGTGCGTTCAAACAAGAGTTAAATAAACACACAATTTGTGAATAACCACTAAAATGATTGAGATAAAGTAATTGTAATGATAAATATAATAAATGTTGTAAGTAAATGTAAATATTTCAGAATATTATACGACAAACGTTACAACATAAGCGTAGAAATTGCCAGGAATTAAACTATTTACCGAATATTGATAAGTAGTATATATATAACTTGTCTAAAATCAAAATCATTTGAATGAACAAGCTTATCTCGTCATTGTAATATCACTATTATCTAAAATCATGTTTGGAGAATATCTAATTATTCACTGATGAACATATCCACTAATTACCTACAGACATCAGAGATCCTTCATTATAATGAGATAACGGCTAGTGAAGAATTTTCATTCTGTACACTTTTAGTAGTAGTCCAATCAGATCTTGAGCTTCATGTATAATTGACTCGAATAATAAGATTAGAATTAAAACTTCAATGAATTCGGAGTGAAACACTCATCTCTGTGTCTGCTTAATAAATAGAAATACTTCTTCATTACCAATAAAATTTATTGTTTCATATTAGTGATCCCAGATTTCAAATATCAAAAGGAGGTTGCGTAATGATCAATGGGTTAAAGAAGAATAGGGAGATGACTGTAATATGCAAGTCAGAAATTCATTGTTTCACATTTTACTATATTTTCTATAATTATGGACGAGTTTCCACCAATCCGTATTTGCTACATGTTGCATGTAACATAAACTACAGTTGTACCATTAGTATAAATTTGTAGAGCCCTTAACAGTTAAGCGTCCTACTATTATTATTTTGACTTCTGTTTGACATGGGTTTCAACCAGTTTATTGATTCCAGAGTGACTCTAAATAGTAAAATAATTTGGACATTCCCTTGATCAATGATTCCTAGATTCACATATTATAACATTTAATGTTTAATCAAAACAGCGAATGAATATTGTTTAAATCCAGTAGGTGGAAACTTTAAAGGGGAGTTTATTAAACGAAAAAATGTTGTTGGTTATTGTCTCTGCTATGCTTATTAAATGTAAAAGCAAAATCCTTGGAGTAGTCATTGACTCGAATTCTATGAAGGTAAACGCTGTTTTAATTTTGTGCTGTTTTCATCAAATGAAACAATAGTGGATTTTCAATAGATTTATTCCATTCTTTACTTAGTTATGCAGCCAACTTCATAGGATCAATTACATTCAGTTATGTACATAGAATTGACTTGACTCGAAAACCTATTTGTCACATGATTGAACAGCGTATAGTATCTTGTAAATACAATACATGGTGTATATGTGTAGAGTGTTTTGTGTGTATTACTTCTTACTAGTCTGATTGCTGGAGGTTAAGCAATAATATTCCTCACGAAGGCAAGCATACAGTTTAGTTTTTTTCTTATTCAGTGATGTTAAACGGTGTCCTAGTGATAATGAATTAGGAAATTGTTGGGACGATCCTGCAGATTTATTGCAATAGACATGAAAAGCTTAGGAAACATTAAGAAGCATTTTATCCGATCGGCGTTTGACTAGATGGTTTGCTAGTAACATCACTAGAGTGAAAAGTCAGATGTAGAGGTTCTGATAGGCTGATTGCTACACTGCTACTATATTTAGTAGTGATTATAATTCCTTGAAAAAGCTTGGACCAGATTGCCAGTAGAAACGTTGGATTTATTACAAATTCATTCGCTGAGATTTTACAAATATATTATTCCTATTTAATGTCTTACATCAACTCGGCGCTCAAATACTGTGAAACCATTAGCTCTTATTTAGACGAGATTTCTTCTATATATTTAGTAGTATTCTAGAATTTTCAGGAAAACTCAAGGACTTCTAAAATACTATAGAAACCCTATATTTTCTGTGCATAAATGAACCTTTGGAGTAAAGTGCTTCTCTTATACTTTGCGCCTTTTCTCTCGTGTTCAAGTCGCTGAGTAGTTCTAGCTTGCGGATTACGAGACTAGCTTAGGATCCGAATATAGCGTTCAATCAACAAGACTTATCAGAAATATCAACATAAATTTAAATTAATTCCGCTGATTTTCGTAAACAAAGAACTATCACGTCACTACTGGTGAATTCGACATTAATAAATGTTTTGATATTGTATTTTCAGTTTGAGTACTTTACTTACATTACAGATCAGACTAATAACAGAATACTCTGTATTTCAAGGGCGAAGAACAACAGGCACAACGCAAATCGGTATATTCAGAAACAAAAACACATTCTATGTTTCTTATAATTTCCAAATAGGAGTAAAATTATTTAACTATCCCACCTACGTCTTGGGTGATAATATACAAATTTCGTTTCGGATGTATTATGGAACACAAAATATATCTACTTTTGTAGTAACGCTTCCAATAACGTCTATGGTGCAACCCATATCCACTACTCCTGTAAGTTTGATTCATAATTTCATTCAATAATGCATCTAAACAATATTCTACAAATAGAACCTGATCTATCAATGTAGGACATATATGATTTTAAGCATCGATTTAACTTTTTTGTATTTGTTACATGAATCTCCCATTGATATGTTTGAGAGCAAATGATCGGTCTCTTGTGATATTCGTGTATCATATCCAGATCACTTCAATATTGTGATAAAGTCACAAGTGTTGTATGCAAACTTGGACAGTAGATATCAGTAGAATTCGGGACGTTTATGCATATCTGAACATAGACGTTTAGTGGATGATGCGTTGTGTGTTCGAAGTACTGAGTTCAAGTCCTCATATGAACATCAGTACTGAAGTGCAGGAATATCTTACCACTGAATTCCAAATGCGACAAAACGCGCTTTACATTTATTTTATATTTAGGGTCTTTGAAGTCTTAGATATATGAAACCCTAAACTCATTTGTATGTTATGCTACCCCAGTGATCTATGCATTTATCTATTATTCAGATAAATGTGATTTATAGTTTTGCTTTACAATTTTTGGAAATTTCAAGTATCCCTTAACCCTACTCTATCTTTATTTCCAACATAAAATACCTTGGAACTCGAGATTTTGAAACATGTAAAACCGTATGAGCAATTAAGTTTTCCTGACTGAAATGGATGCTTTTTATTGCTCACTCAGATCAACTCTGGGAAAAATAATCATGACGCGTAAGACAAGAACTCTATACTCGTTTTTAGGGTCATACTGGAAATGTATCACCAATTTATGAGGCACTAGTTCACATATGTACAAGAGTCATGGATTCTACTGCTATTTACTGTCCAACTCTGCTTAAAATACTTGTGACTTAATCACAATATTGAAGTGATTTTCATGGGATGCATATACATCCACTGTGACTTGTCAGAATTCAGTGAGAAAATCTACAACGCGATAATCCAAATTATTACCAGTTAAGCTGAAACACTTTTGTTCTGAAGGTATAATGTGTGGGCGAGAATGATAATGATGGGTTGTTTTACCTAGTCAGACTTGTGGATACTCTGACAGGCGTTAGATGAGATATACATTCTCCTGTCCTTACGATGATAATAATAAGAAGAACAGTGATAATAATGATAATGATAATAATAAAAATTATTATTGAAATTCACTTAGAATTGTTTGTTTGGATCTTCCCATTGATGTTTTTAGGACTGTAACTGGTCAGTCTCTAATTGGCATATGTGCATACTATGCACATTGCCTCGATATAGCCTAAATTCACAAGCATGGTAAGTAAATATGGATAGTGGCTAGCAGTGGAATCCAAGACGCGCACTTCGTCCTATTTGGGACTGGTCAGCTGGATGCATCTGCATCTCAGAGTTGATGTTCACTCTGCAACTCGAACCGTAAACGATGGTTAAATGAAGCAACTTATACGCAATCTGAAGATAGTAATAATGTTTGTGAAAGAAGCAAATAATCTTTATAATTCAGTTATTTTGCAAACCGTTATCCTTAATACCTAAAAGTTGATCAGTTTAGCTATGAAAAGGGTGTCGTAAATGAATGCAAGATTATTATCAAGGTTTTTTGTAAATCCATTCAAAGCATAAAATATTTTTGATCTGTACATTCTTTGTAGTTGATCACTTATTAACGATCACCGAAAATACATGTTAGTGTTGTACTCAGTCATCATGTAATACGGTAATTGTGTTTGTGAGGTGGGCATAACATTTTTTGGCACGTAATGTTAACAGCCAATGTTTTTGAAGTGCACAACCTTTCAAATTAATGATCTGAGATTTTTATTGTCATTTGTAAATGACATTGTAAACGTTATTTAATTAGAAAGTCTGGAATTATATTTCCAATTCAACAGTTCCCTTTGTTAAACATGTTAGACGAACAATGAAAAACTGTACATACATTTTCCATCACAAGGGAAAATAATTACTGTTATTGTGACAAGCACTAAATCGCTGATCGTTGAAAAAATAACCTTTTTTGACAAGCATATGTAATATAGGTTGAATGAAGTGTCAATGAACAAGCCTATGTCTAGCGAAATAAATTTCTATCTCAATTATATGACTTAATGTGAATAAACGATGTGATGACTACTCTGGATAAATGTAAATTGTAATCATTCTCTTAACTTGTTATCATTTGCAAACATTATTTGAAATTAGGTCTCTAAAACTCCTGCAGTTACCATTGAAAAAGTCGAACCACGAAGTTCACAACCAGCGGTAAACTTTAGTACAGTTGTAGAAGTTCGAGTGAAATTCGTTAAAGACTTTGTCTACATACCGGTAATTTTTCAGTTACAAGTAAATTCAAGTGAAGCAATTATAATCAGACAAAGTATTCAAACAATTGGATATCTATTGAAAACTGTAGCGCCTGTGGGTTCTGATCTTTCTGTTAAACCGTAAGCTTGATTATTAACCGTATTCTCATGTATATGTAAATGTGAATACATGATTCATTATATATTTATATATATATACTAGATAACGCCCCAACGTTGTATGAATCAGAAGGTGAATACGAAGTGTTGAATATGTTTATTATTGTACCACGCACATATTGGCAAAATTACAGGCACGTTAAGCAAACATGAAAGAGTAATGTCGAAAAGCAAGCGGGTGAGCGTGCGAGTCGAATGGGTGAGAGTGTGAGTGATCAAGTCTATGAACGAGTGTGCGAGTTTTTGAACAGGATTAAAATGTACATATATATATATATGGAAATAAATCAATTAAGCGACTAATAGTAAGGCTAGTAGAATGAATAAATGCGTAGGCAGTAAGCAATGCTCTTTTTTTACATTTATTCAAACAAGTACAACAATTATAAAGGTACAATAGTATAAATAGGTTGTTATTGTACGAATGACTCTGTCCGTTAAATAATTTAACAAAACAGTCCATAACCAAATTAAATATGAACAAACTCGATTGTACGTGAGCTGCCATACACTACAGTATTTCTGTTATTCTAACAATTATTCATCAATCAATCTTCCTTTTATTTTGCCTTTATTTTCTCTATTACCAAAGTGACTTGGCTAAATTTCAAATAAATTCGGTGTACTTCAATGAATCATGTACAGATGCTCAGTGTGATATTGCATTGCGTTATTCGATAATTCCAATTACCACAAAGCCTTTAGTAATCACATCAACATTTACTTCTGGTGTATCCAGTTTTACGAAAACGTTAGCTATTACTCCACGAGCTAACTGTTCCGCTGTACTGGTATGAATTGAAACAACATTTTTTGCATTCAATTTTGCTTTATACTTTACTTCAGAATTTTTTAACCCTATCATAAACTACTGACTGTGATTTAGGTGTAGATAAATATTTGTAACTGATTAGAACAAGTATGAATTTCACAACGTGATATACATACACAGGTTGAAGTGATATTCAAACAGGTTGTTCACTATGTTGTGTTGTAAAAATGTGAAGATGACTTTTATGTCTGATGATTAAGTAACCAGCAAATATAGAGTAATATTAATAATAAGATACCTAGCATTTATGATACACTCTATGTTACTGAATGGTTAGTAGAAAACTCATTTACTTATAATACTCTTATTTAAATCACATCGTAGATTAATCCTATCAGGATTTACTTTCAATATGAACACCAAACGTGACTCTCTGATTAACTTACATGACAGGTTAATAGATCCATCAGGAAATTCTAAAATTCATCTTAAATTCATTGAAGAGCATTGTAATTTTGTCGAGTTTATTAATTCTTGAGCATAGTGGTAAGTTTTAAGTGTTTTATTCATAACACATTTTATTTCAGATTTTACAATGTATAAAAGGAATTTGCATTTGTTAATTTTTTCAAGTCATCAAGTCAAGCTCCAGGAGTTAATTTAACCTCTAGTGATTCAAATACAGTCAAAAATCAAGTTATACCAAACTCTCTTACATCATTTAAGTTAACGTTAACTCTGAAACCCAATGTATGGCAGACGATATATTTCCAACTTTATGCTCCAGGTGCTTACCAAGAATACATACTTGTCAGGCCAATTATACTAAGCCAATTAACATCATTGACATATATCAGCATAAATTCGGACTCTTTGGAAAATATGGTTTATCTCAGTATAGATAAAGCTTATTACGAAGGTTTGTTGTCACTTATTTCACAGTTTTATTTATAGTAATCGGTATTGATATGATTACTAATAATCTTTCTTTCATTAATAAACGATTTTACTCATGAATCTTTTTAGCTGTACTTAATGAAGTCACCGAGTTATGTCAAGGCAGTCTCCAAGCTGATTTCTAGTCATTTAATAGTGTTTTTTTACTTATTCGATAATGGACAATTTTCCTTTTCTTACTACCCATGCACACCTGTCAAACATGCTTTTACTTTCATAGTTCATTTGAAATAATGATGAATAGTGATAAAACTGATTTAATAGACTCAGTTCTAGTCAGTACTTAAAGTAGACGTTCTCAGGAATCTTCATACTATTTCTGTTATTTGTGTAACACTAACTGTATTGACTAATTAGTGTTACATTCTTACATTCAAACGCACCACCTACTACGAGTAACGTACCTCTAGGAAAAAAATTCTTCATGTTCAAAATGCCAAGATGTTCTTATTTTGTTATTGATTTGATTATCTCATATTTTTGACTTGAACTGAGGAAATGAAGACCTTTACATCGCTAATAAAAAGCACTTTTTAGATTCCGGGTTTGTGGACAAACTTCATTCATAGTTTTGTGGTAGGAGGCAGATTCAAAAGATTACACTCAGGCAACTTATTTGAAACTCCACTTGTAGCTAGAATTTTAAGGGTTACAGTAAGTTGCAAGTCTGAGTAAACTCTGATTATTTTACTGTATACCCACTCTAAAAACTAAATGTGAGATCAAACTCCAGGTACTAATTATTTTAGTTTGATAATTTCTCGTGCATACATGCTGGTCCATAGTTGAAAGTAATTTTGTTGAAAAGGGATTCCTTCCTTAATCGAATGTTTTTACTGCCTAGTGGATATGTTATAACTTAGTACAATACTCTAATAGACCCAAACATTACTAACTGATCATTCAAGATATAAATATTTGATTTTACAATCAAACTATCTGCACTCTTTCAAACAAATATCCCTTCAGCTCATTGAAAAATCTTCAAGAAAGTTATGTTTCTAGTAAATCGTGTGTATTAATATATATTTCGTATTAAGTTGTGGTTTATCGATCCCATAGGAATTATGTTTTTTTGTGTGGATGTACGTAGATGTGATAAATTGATAGTTGTCAAAGTACAATCATTCAAATTTGCCTCATTAAGAAATTTGGCTGTCAATTTATGTTTTATGTCTATAGGAGTCGCAACCGATCAAACTATTTCGGCAGCAAATGAGTTAACTTTGTATATCCCAATGTTCACTGCAAATTCTGTCAGACCACTGGTCAATTTTACTTACAATTTGACAGTTAATTCAATCTCTATATTTGGTAGCTTCATATTTACTACCACTACTCCAGCAGTAAGTCACAGTACTCATTTTCATTCATTTTGCTTCGAATTACATCAAGATAATTTTGTTACTTGACTTCTTTACATTATTTGGTGGAATCGGTATACAATATCAATGGATTAACTGTTATTTTGTTTAATTGATAATCTAACTTCAGTTGTTGTATTTTATCTAACGGCATTGTTTAGCTACCTGAACTTTCAGGATGACTATTAAATTGGATTTTCAAGCAAGATCGTGATGTTTATGTCACGTATACTCGATAAAAGTTTTATCTATCTATAATAAACTCCATATAATTGATGTATGCTTTAGTTTTATTGAGGTCTTTTAAGAAAAAAAATAGAGTTGAGGATGCCACTTATCTGTGGTTGTATGTAGATGCTGATAGTTCGTCAAACACAATCAGTACCGAATCCTGACATAAAATCGTTATTCACTCTAAAGGATCTCTTGAAATGACCGATGATTCGGTCATTATGTTCTTCTGCTGTTCTTTCGGTTCAATTTACACCTGGCAGAATATAATATGAATTCTATTTCATTTTTCACCTCAGCTAAATACAAGTTTCTAAGTCTAATTAGTTGAAGATAATAGCATATATGAGAATAAAACATAAACCATCCATCAGAGAACAATAATTGTTCTCCATGACAGAAATGTGACGGAGTATTTAGGAAACCTTCAACAGATTTATAAATAGTTTGAGCGTTACTTACAGAATACGCTGATATTACGCCAAATCATTTTCTTTCATTCTCAGTTGTCACTTCCATATTAAATTGAGCCCTACTGTAGCTTTTCAGTAGAATGTTTCTGTGATTTTATCTCGTAATGAAACATGAAATTATCATCATCATCATCACATCATGCGTAGAATGAGGTCTCGTAATGGCGAATGGCAATTTTGTTCTCTTCAGTTTCACAAAGAAGATTTGAGCAATAACTCGTCTCGAATGTTCACTCATAAATACACGGGTTCTAGATGGTTTGTCTTATTGCTGAACTAAAAGTGAATGTTTACAAGTCATAGCCTTAACATCTCTGTGAGTTGTGCATAGAATATATCTATTGATCATAAATAGTTTAGAATTATGTCAAATATTTTCAATAGTAATATTAATAATTAAAGATGGATGGTGGCTAGTAGTGGAATCCAGGACGCATATTTCGTTCTGTATCCCAGATTTGATGCAGATACATCCATCTGATGAGTGCCAAACAAGACGAAGAGCGCGTCCTGGATTCCACTGCTAGCCACCATCCATCTTTGTTAATAATACTTGTGACCTAAGACAATATTAGGACAATCCGTACAGAATGTACATATGTCAATAAGAGGCTGATCAATTGCAGTCCTAAATATCAATGGAAAGGTTCAAGCGAACAATACCACATGAAAAAGTGTTAGTAGATCTTAACGATGCGCCAGGAGTTTGGAGTGTTTTATATATTAATTGAATTTGTTACTTCCGGAAACCTGAGATTGTCCTCCAAACTGTACACGATCAGTTGTTAATCAAGTGTTTTTCATCTAGTTTCCTAACCAGTGGACTAAATTGTAACAGGAATAGTTACTCATGAAGAAGTTTGGTTCCAGTAGTTTAACATATATTTACCCTCACATGAACAATAATCCACTCCGTTTTTGTACGTCGTTCTACCACTACGGTTTCTTTCGAAGAACTGTCTAAGGTTTTTACTGCTGTTCTAGTGATGAAAATTCGATTACTGTCACACTGATAAGACATTGGTTTAAGAAATGGTTTGCGAATGTCATCTAATCTTCCAGAATCATCATCATTTTCCGTAAGTACTCGGGCTTACTAATCAATGAAACAATAGAACTTCTGTCTATTTAAATTAGTACTAAACACTTGTTATTTCCTAATTCCAGTAATCCATTATGATAATCGTCAACGGTTTTCCTATTCAGTGATCATAAAATGATAAAGACTAATTCATGTTTGGGGTGGGTGAGTACTATTGACAGCTTAACGGTGTTTCTATTATTAGACATTTATGAGACTGCGAAATAACATTTTAACAGTAGGTGTCCAAAACCTAACCGAAGCCTCAGTTAAAAATATGTGGATCATACCACAATTATAGGAAAAACGAGAAAAAGAGAATATTGCATCATAAAAGTTATTACTTCATAAAATCAGTTCACTAATTTTGTGAAGCAGAGAGAATTAGTCTATGTTGCTTTGATATACTTGTTCGTTGAAGGAGAAATTGCTGAAACATTTCTTTGGCAAGGTTCGATTTTCGGTTTCTATAGTTACTGCCCAGGGTTATTCTATGAGATTGACCGTATTTGCATGATGAATGACATCAAAATTAGACGAATACTTCATATGAAACACTGATGTGACATAGTTTTGGGTTCCTCTGAAAGCCACGACTTGAAAACCGTGAATGTAATAACCATAACATTCTATAAAGTGGGTTGAATGAACTTTAACTGATAATAGACATAACTAAATTCAAACTAGTTATCTGATTATCTATAATAAGATAATTAACTCAGTCCATCAGAACATTACTAAGTATCACTTCAGGGAAACGGAAGTTTACTAATTTCATGTACCTTCAAGATCTTTAATAAAGTGATAAAGACGTATCTTTTCATCTTCGCAATAATTCATAATCTACAATAACAGTTTTTACATCAAATAGAAGTGTTCTATCATACATAGGACGTTTCTGACATAAATCTCTACAATACTAATGAGTTCATGAAAGAAAACGAAATCAAAGAGAGAAATTAGAAAAATTTAAGCTATTTTCTCCATAAAGGTGGCTTATTTAAATTGAGCAACATTACTTGAACCCATCAATGATGTGAAACTGTACACTGTTTACTCACTAAATAGCGGGATCACAGGGATTAGTCATATCATAGTTGTAAACTATAGCTGATGAAATTAAAATACTATCGCAAACAATTAATCAGTAGTTCATTTGAAACCACTATAAAAGTATACTTGACACTTGATGACATTCGTTAAGAAAATACTTTATATCTCCTCCTATATTCCAATTATCTAGATTATGTTAACGTTTTTGGAAAAAAATGCCATTGAATTTTTTTTATTCGAAGAAAGATGTGAAAATAGTTTTCAAGTTCTAGAGGACATACAGTACAAAAGTGACCTTGAAAAATGATTTATGATTTTAAGTTGATTAGTGAAATTGTAACCAAAATTTCACATAATTTTCGTTAGTTTGAAAGGTGGTTTTAATTAGGATTTACTTGCTCGAAAACATGACATTATTTACTAACTAAATGTGAATATCAGCATAAAGTCGTGGAGATTGTAGAGTTTTTTATTGAGATCATTAACAGCTCGACGTTAGACTACAATTGGAAACGTGTAAGCACTGGACAACCTTTTCGTCCTACTTCGGTATTCCTCATTAGTGCATATCCACGACCTCGCACGTGGAACTCGAACTTATGCTCTAAACATTCGAGCAGGCATCCGACAGTATTAATGTCTAACCGTGTCAGGTGTGAGACAGTTACTCAATGAAGACAGTAGATGGTCGCTCAGCATTGTATATTGGTTGAAGTTAGACATTGATCCCGCATGCAAGGTCGTACATACGCACTGCTGAGGAGTCGCATACCTGGATGAAACGGTCGTCCATAGCTTCAAGTTTTTCAGCGGTCGTCTAACATCGATCAGTTGGTGATTTTAACTAATTGTAAATAGTTGACATTTATCCTGGGAAGCATCATCGATGAAAGTGGAGGATGGGATGCTGACGTAAATGAGAGGATTGGAAAAGCAAGGATAGCACTCCTACAGTTAAAGAACATATGGATCTCAAAACAACTGTTAGCCAACATCAAAGTCACAATCTTCAATACGAAATTCAAGACAGTTAGTTCTATTGTACGAAGATGAAACGTGGATAACTATTACAAACATAACCGAAAATGATATAGATATTTCTAAACGATTTTCTATGCAACATACTGAATGTCGGTTCACTGGATACCATCAGCAACAGTCCTACTGTGGGAGAGAACGAACCAGGTTCCAGTTGAGGAGGAAATTAGGAAAAGACGTTGGAAGTGGATAGGACACATATTGAGTAAACCGTCAAACTGCATCACGAAGCAAGTGCGAACTTGTGATCGTGAAGGGAAACGCAGAAGAGGAAGGCCAATGAACACACTGTATCAGGAATTGGAAGCAGATATGAAAAGGATGAATAGCGACTAGAAAGAGTTGGAAAGGATTGTCCAGGACAGAGTTGGATGGAGAATGCTGATGGGTGGCTCATACAACTCCATGAGATGCAACAGGCGTAAGTTTGTTTGTGGACATTTACATTTATGTTGATCTGAAAGATTAGTTGACTGTACATCTATGAATACATTAATGCCTATGTTTTTGTTGAAATTATACATGTTGTACATGTTGTTTTTCTTTTACAAATAGTAAGCTATGAAACCTATTATTTAATAATTAGAGTTTATGACTGTATGAGTGAGGAAAACGTTTAATAATCTGTGATTTTGCCAAACGATTTTTCAATTCGGAATGATTAAACATCTTTTGTGAATCGTAAAACTCTTTTCATACAACGTGGTAATTTCAGTCTTGATATTTTCTAAACGCAGGCATTTATTACAACTCTTTCAAGTACTTGTACTTTAACTTCTCCAAGTGCCACTGATTTTTATAAACAAATGTGTACTGGAGGACCGTTTGAATTTGTGATCAATATGTGTCCGGTTGAAAGACGTTGTTCATTCTTTACACACTGGATCAACAGAATTGTGAATGGTACTGCAGCTCTTAATGTTACAAATGTAACTGTACTTACGTATGGTGCGGATGTGTGGCTCTCAACCTCGTTCTCTTTCAATTTGACGTATGAACCTAGGTTAGTTTAAACTGATTAAATCCTACGTTGTTCAATAATTTCTTTAGATGTTATTGTAACTAGGCTAGCGTCCCATAAACGAACACACTTACTTTCAGTGATCGAAAGTGAATTGTGTGAAATAACGGAAACAACTTAAGTGACCTAGATAAGAAACTGTTACGTCCTTGAACTGTCTACCCACTTTCGTGCAGAGGATAACTTGTCTAATGTGAATGAAGACCTTGACGCGATAGGCTGACTGGCTTAAACTTGAGCCTAGTATGCGTGAGTATGAAAGTGAGATCAAGTGCTTGGTGTAGAGAGACGAAAACTATTCTATCACCTGATTGGCTGACAGGCACGCACAATAGAGAAGATAAAGTCAACTGGAACACTACTTGATTTATTCCCGATTACGTTCTGGTTCCCGATTTCATATTAGTGTAAAAGGATGATACAGAAGTAAATACATGACTGACCTAACCACAAAGTACACAATTATGTCCAAAACTGGGGAGTAGAGTAAAAAATAGAGTACAAAAGATGACGTTTACATTACAGGCAAGGCAATGGCAGTGAGTCATACATCAAACGAAAACTTTAGAGATTTCTGAATTTCATCGAAATCATCAACTGATCAATGTCAGACCATCATTGAATACGTGGAAGCAGTACACATAAAGCATACTGCTTAGGAGTCCCAAAATGGGGAGAAATGAAAATTCATATTTCTAATGGTGGTGTTGTTCGGTTCATGATTTAGGCGAAACAAGATTTAAATGTTTTTACCTTGAAAATATGCCTAGAAATTTGAAACGGCGTATTATTTAATAATGGTTCTATCTCTAGATAATGTCTTTATTAATCATTACAGTTTAAATAAGAGAGAACAATTGGTTCACACTTTTTTTGTAACCGACTTTGCAGTAATTCCGTTGACGCCGTACCAAAACACAAATTTCCATTTGTTATCAGCATGACTTTTGTGTTTACCGATTTAATTGGCAACGTACCCCATTACTCTTCTAATATGTACAAACAAACCATAAAATTAATAATTTATACTCTTTTCTTTAGTTATGTGAAGCTTGATTACGGCCCAGTATGCACCATTATTCCGATTTCTCTATGTGTAAGTCTGCAAAATAGTAAGTGTTCTATTGTATACTGTGGTCAGATAAAACTGTGTAGGAATTGTGTTCTTAGATAAAAATGGATAATAAACATGTTTGATCCCCTATACAATTATAGTAAAATACTTGAAAACCAATTTTGAAGTTGTTAATGGTAATATAATGGATGCATTAAGTAGTTTCGATGAAAAATTAAAAACCTTCATGAATCATTGTTACACGAATTTCTATCACAAACAACAGAAAAGTAAGTAACTAATTAAGGTGTAGTTAGTAACAGATGTAGAAGTCAAAGTCTAGATTTCGAATGCAATCAAAATTAAGATGGCCTAAATTTCACTTTGAACGTGACTGTCCAAACATCCTCAGTAGCTTTGATAGTGTGCAGAGAGGATTTTTTACTACCCCAAAATCTAAACTTCTGTGGCAGAGTTATTCAGAATCAACGTCCAATGGAACACCAGATGGCAAAGTGTTAATTAGTGTTGACAACTTCATTTCTGTCAGTATCGTTTTCTCTACTGACGATAATTAATGATGCGTCGGGCCGTTCAAAGACCATGGTAGATATCTGACTGTCAATCTGAATACGAATAGAGTAAAAATCGGAATGTGCTCAGTTATTTTGCAGGCATGAAACACATGACGAAATCATGCAAAACTTACGAGACATGTATTTGTGATGGTGATTACATTCTATAATGACATGGTAAACATCAGTCATTCCTTAAATCCTAATGTGTTCATAATTTTGTTGATTTTATCTTCTGGTGATGCCAAGTGTAGTAACTATAACTGTTACACATAACGATCGAGTCATACATCTTTATCCTGGTAAGATACACGTTTTTTGAATAGTTTAAGGATTTCTGTCAAAATTCGCAACGTAATTATTGGTATTTCCCGGAATTAGACAAGAAATAAATCAAGTATCTTTGTAGAAAAAGTGTTAAGTATTAAGGCTATTTACAAATAAAAACATATTTGACTTTTATGATAACAATAACACTGAGTTGTAGTGACAAAATGTTAGTTTAGGTAACTTATAGATTTAGAATTCAAATTGTTGGGCTGACGAAGGTATTTATGATCTATAGTATAATGTTTTAATATTCATATTAAATTCCTGACAGTTTTATGGAAAATGGATTTATTTGTTCACTCATGTAATTAATGAAATTGTAACTCACCTACTGATCATCAGTGAAAAATTGGTGTTGATCCTGACATTTGGCCTATTGATATGACTCTTAATTAGTAAGATAATTCTTCGGATACAACGGTGATATGTTAATGATATAAGAAATAAATACAATATTGTTGTTCTAGTGGGAAGCAGTGGCCAGTGGAGTTCTACCAAGTCTGTTGTAGAGATATCAACTCACTGAAAACAATTGGTGAACGGTCGCTCGAAATCGTGGATTGGTTGAAGTTAGACATTAACACCGTTGGATGCCGACTCAGTGGTCTATCGGTTAAGGGTTCTGGCTCGAGACTGGTAGGTCCTGGGTTCGAGATTGGCGAGTGCGGGATCGTGGATGCGCACTGCTGAGGAGTCCCATAATAGGACGAAACGGCCGTCCAGTGCTTCCATGTTTCCATAGTGGTTTAGCTTCAATTGACTCATGATTTCAACTATGAAAATATTGTTATCAACCATTTTTCCGGTTTTCTTTATTTTCTTACATCATAACATTGTCATTCATTTGTATTGTTTAGATACAATTCAAATATACTGCTTATCTAATGGGAGATTGCAATGTGACAGCGACAACAAACTACGTTTTCCCCATATTTGTTAATCTCAGTGGGAGTACAAAAAATTTCACCGTCCCGAGTATGACATTTAATGTAATACCAAGTTTCCTAATATACACTGATGTAAGCTACGATTGATTTAGCAACAATTTTAACTTCTTGTCATTACTCAAACATTTTCTTATTTCTATTTGTACTACACAGTTATGATTTAGTTATAGCAGATGTCTTTGAAATGCTATGAAGATAGAATATAACTACCTCTGGTAGATTTCTACTTACCTTGTAAATGACTTTGAACGCATGGTCAGTTTGGACTGAATGACCTGTGTTCACAAGTTGTTCAATTGTTGAGCTTCATATTAGGCCATTCTCGCCTCTTTTCAGACAATGTTCTTGGATTCTTTAGGATGATATACTCATCGAACGACCCAAAACCTGGCTCCACCTGAACAGGTAAATTGTTAGACAGAAATGGAATTAGTCAACTGCGACAATTTATTTTAGAGATTGTTACTGAACATTGGTCGATTAGAGGACAATAGTCACAAAGTTGTTGTGAAGAATGATCTACTGAGAGAGTCTGGAATTCTCTTCTTCAGGATGTTTGTAGCTATATAGCGTGGTAATAATCAAATGTTTACAAAAGATGATTAATCAAATAATATTTGTTGCTGCTAAATCTGATAACGAACCAGTTAAAAACAATATTGTTCAGTTTTCTGTTTATTATTCATACTCGAAATGAACAGAAAACAAGTGTTTATTTCAATCATTATTTAGGTTATTCCAATTACACAAAATGACAAATCGCTTGTATTCTACTGTGCATTAGACTAATTTTTCAGAGAATATTTTGCAGATAAGCAATTATAAATAGTCGTCGCGAAGATTCAATTCCACTAAGCTATTTGATATAACGAAGTATCCAGTGATATTTTACGACCATCTAAGATGGAATTTATACTACATAACAAACAGATGCATAGAATTTGTAAGATCATCTATTAAATAAAACTTATGGATGATAGTTCTATATTAACAAACTATTTGAAGATAACACAGACCATGAAGTGTAGTTTAATTATTGTATATCATGTTAAACAATAAAATAGGAATGAAGCCCATAATAACTGGCAAAATATTATCGACTGAGTAAAGAAAACATATATTACTTCTCTATTACCCAAAACATAAGCAAAGCAACTAAAAACACTTTTCAACATAAAAATGATAAAGTACTATGAAAGTTCTCGACAAACTATTACTGAGAATGATCAAAAATGCTTTTAAACTATATTAGTTGGTTGAAGGTTAAGGTCAAAAATCCTCAGTGTCAGAAAATAGACTCGGATTATAATTTGCCCTCATTCTTCTTATATACATTGGTAATATTTGAAATTAAATGTCTATGCACAAACCTAGGTTGAGATATTGAACAAACCAGAAAAATCACTTAATACTTCATATTTGTATCTGATATCAGATGCAACGATTGGAAACCTGTGATCAGTGGATTCTGCACTAAAAACGTTCATTCCAAGCTTGTCTACATCTGAGTATATATCTCTACCTCTGAATACGTACAAGAATTGTACTTATTTAAGCTTTATACATTCTCGAGATCATCATTTGTCTAATTATACCAGTTTTGCAGTTGCACTACTGTATTTCAACCGAAATGTAGTTAAACACAGTGTTTCTTTAAAACTTCTGTAAAGAACATTAGACAAAGAGTCGTCATTTTGAAAGTGTCTTTTTCACTACAAGCAACATTTGTACCTTAAATAATAGTTGAAATCATGAGTCAATTGAAGCTAGACCACCATCGAAAACCTGGAAGCACTGGACGGCCGTTTCGTCCTATTATGGGACTCCTCAGCAGTGCGCATCCACGAACCCGCTCTCGTGAGCGAGATTCGAACCCAGGACCTACCAGCTCAGTGGTCTATCGGTTAAGGGCTTCGGCTCCAGACTGGTAGGTCCTGGGTTCGAATCTCGCTCGCGAGAGCGGGTTCGTGGATGCGCACTGCTGAGGAGTCCCATAATAGGACGAAACGGCCGTCCAGTGCTTCCAGGTTTTCGATGGTGGTCTAGCTTCAATTGACTCATGATTTCAACTGTGAAAATACTAAATTCTCCACAAAACCCCCTCTGACCTTAAATAATAGACAATCAGTTTGTTTGTTTTTCAAATTAAAGCTTAGAATATTTCGTTTCAGATTATGATTGAAGTAAGTCCACCTAATGTAAAGCTGCAGCCTGGTGAAAGAACAACTATCAATATCAAATATATATTCCCATTGAATTCCACCTATCTGAAATCTACAGTACGAATCAATGGAACTGGAAGCAACAGTACTAATGAAAGTATAATAACAATTGCAGATTTTAAAATAAGTTTGGGTTCTAACTTATTTTACACAACAACTGCTTACTCATCTAATTATTTGTCAACTTATCCAACCAATCAAACTGATCAGTTGGTAGTTTACTTCGAAAATATCACTAACATTGGTGAGTTTAATGAGAAATTACAGTTGATCAGTTTATTTCTGACTTTATGAAATATCTTAAGTTACACACTCGTCAATTTGAGCAAGATAATTTCTAGATATGTTCATTCTTAAAAGGTAGTGTATATGCATTTTATTTTGCAGTTAAATTATTTTATCACAATATTACTTTAGATGGTAACAAGGGAAGAGCGTAAGAAAGTTCGAACTGACAAGATGGACACGGAACAAAAAGTGATTTTGATACAGTTAAACAACAGCCAGTACAGTAAAACAATCAATGGTACAATTGGTTATAATAATAATTGTTTCCATTATACCAATCGCGCTCTCGTCGAGAAAAGCAGGTCACTGCAATTGAATCTCATTTCCGTTCAATGTTTCTATTCAACTTGTCAAATATAGCAGACACAAATTTAGTTCGATGCATGATTACCTTAGTGCAATTTATTTTATTCTCGATATTCATGCATATTTGTGATGTTAATGAAATAATTTTTTATCCTAAATAATCAGCTGCTATTCGCTCTGGTCCAATTTGTTCACAATGAATCTCAGAGGAATTTTACACAACGAAAGTCTAAAATTTCAGTAGAATAGAGTATTACTAGTGCAGTGAACGAACTCCATCCTTCCGCGACTGCTATTACAGTTACTCTCTATATACATTCCCATTCTATTCGATCTCAACTTTCGACTGACAGCCATTGCACTTCTGATTGGTGTCACATACAACTTATCTATCGACAGACATAAGTAGCACACACCACACCAGTACAAGATCAAAGTTAGGCAAGAAAATATCTCTAAAAATATAACTGAAACATGATTAAAAACTGTGAAATAAGTTGAAGTATTTTGGAATAAATTTGACAAAAAACACTATCACTAGCTCACTGTTTCCTTGAAAATCTGATCTTCATTTCCTCCTGTCAGTTTTGGTAGCCTAACTCACAGGAAAAATAATCTGGCTTTATACATGTTTTAACTAATAAACACCAGATGAGCAGTAAACTGAATGCTGTCTTTTGATTTCTCTCCAATCAGAAGAGTGTTGTTAAATATTCATGGATATGGCTCAAATCTTGAGGAATGTTTGTGTGACAAACAGTCATCTCAGCTGAAAATAATCGAGTTACACTACATGGCTCAGCTTTACATTACAGCAACGATGACAGCGAGATGAAATTCTCTCTATGTGTAGACAATGAAAATACTCTATAATGACGATTATTGACGAACAGTAACTAAGATATTTCATGAAAATGCAAACAAAATCATTGCCATTATGTGGACTGGAATGAAATGAACCGATTTATTGTTTGTCACCATTTTCCAATATTTTGTAACTAACTACTTGACTAATTATTTGACAGTATCGTCTTGAATTTTGTTGTTTTCGGTTAGCGTCTAACAAATTTAGTCCTGATATTTAGAACACTAGCTGTTTATTCAGAGTGAATAAATGGTTCATGGTCTTCTTCAATGCACTATCTAATAAACATTATCGGCATTTTCAGGTACGGTAGGTGTACCCACAATGCGAAACACTCTCAGTATTTCAGTGGATATCCAGTTGAGTGATAGTAAAATGGTAGAAAACGGAACTGTTTGGCCGTTGCAAATCACTGGTCAATTCAATGCTGTCACTAATATTACCAGAATATCTATATATTGTGTGAGAACTGGGTCAGAAAAACCATCAATTCAGGTTGTACTATCTCAATTGTCAACGTTCACATTCAGTGGTTATCCTGATAGGTATGTTTGAATCGTTTTAATCTTCACTATATATTTATATCATGGAATAATTGATTCACTTCTAACGCGAATTCATTTTTCACTTGAATATGAATTTCACATAAAATAATCGTTATATTGATCAGATAGTGTCCAAATGCACATAATAATGTTCCATATCAAGGATTATGCTGATGACTATTCACATGAAGAGTACAAACTTTGGTCTTCAACCAAGAGTTTGAAGAATTTTCAGTTATCCACCAAGCAATAAGATTATCATACCCATATTCAAGTGACCAAATAAATTAGTTTTATTTATTTCTTAAAATAGTTACAAACCTCGTTACTAATGAGTAACCTTCAATGTTAATAATCTCGCTGTTAAATTTCATTGAAAGCATATCTCATAACACCTTAAGACCAGACATACAACTCGTTTAAACATCCATCAGATAAAACACTGTTAAATCATATAATTGGTGTACTAAACAGATATGGCTGTTGAGTTGTAGTACATATAACTTATTGGAGTCATATATTTCAAATCTACAGGTCAATCAACATCATTGCGTATCCCATTAGATGACTATTAACAAGTTAGTTTGCAAAGCAGTGTCTATCCTTTCATTTATCGAACATAAGAAAACGTGGGTAACTGTTGAACTGAGCTGTAAATCATGACATTTTATTGCAGACAAGTGTCTGTGATTATCAAATGTTAGTGCTAAAATGATTCAAATGTGTGTCTCAAGGAATTACTGACAAATAACTATAAAATGACTTTAGCTAGGGCATTAATTTCTTTCTAACACACTTGTTGCCAGGCACGTGAACAGGAAAATCACCAGGTATATTTTATCCTGAGGCTATGAAGTAAATTATAGCTATTAAGCGTAGGTCAGTTTTGCTATTAAAAGCATCCAAAAGCCAATCAAAATCGTACATGAAGTGTCTTACACTTATCTCAGCACAAAACCGCTATGTTTGAAGAGATTATTAGATCACCCAATCTTCGAACGGAACGAAGACACAGTGGCACAATGACCAATAAGCTAGCTATTCCGATGTGTCACAGTCTCGTTAACCAGAGAGAGAAGTTCAACTTCAGAAGAGGGAAACATATTCCACAAGTAGCAAGAAGCATGAACACCAACAATAAGCACAACTCAAGCGTACATATACAGCCTAAAGACGTCCTTGGGAAATGTCACAAAATAGCATACTAAAAGAGACTACAAACAAATAGCATTTAAGGTTCACCAAGGTGGAAAATGCGACAAGAAGGTTGAAATGGGTGGTTTTGGAGCGCAAACAAGTGATTCAAGTTGTTTTTAATAGAATTACAAATTTAAGGCATTTACCAATTGAGATCTGGGGATCTAACATTCCCAACAAAATCATTTTGACTTTTGTTAAATTAATCGATCTGTTGAAGACAATATTTAAGCATGGAAGATGGTAAAATCGTTTCTTAAAACTCTCATGAAACCTTTATTGCATTTTATTCATTCGCAATTACTTCGAACCAACTAAACTCATATTCACTTAAAAGTGAAAAAAAAACGGAACAATGAAGAGAGTAGAATTCCGACATTTTTCTCCGTGTTACCTCCAACAGTTACTTAATTCGATTTAATTTCAACAAACTGACCTAATGTTAACATGTTTTCTGATGAACCAACTATATTATGTATTTCCGATGCACAATAAACAATCATCTGGGAAGCATTTAACTGGTGGAACAACCCAGTCATTTACATCGACATCAAAAATAATGCTCTTCAAATTTTAAAAATGTTCATTATACTGTTTACAAGATTTCTGACGATATTGAACATTGGATGATTAAGTTAGCAATAAAAAAGGCGTATTATTGTGAACAACTCTAAGAATTTCACCCTTTTCGAGCTATACACGTCTACACTGTACTAAAAATGCCTAAATACTGAAATCTAAGTAGATGCAAAGTTATAAATATTCTTGCTATTTCTCTGTTGATAGTAATTGGTTAATCCTGTCGAACTAGATTGGAAAGCTTGTAAAACCAAATATCAATTAAATTGATAGATAATCCAATTATTATTTGAATTCGATCATCAGAATTCGAACCATGTTACTGTTATGTAATAACACTCTACATATTTTACATTTTTTATCTGATCTGATACTCAGAGATGTGGTGTACCTTCAGACAGTCGTTCAAATGATGAATGGTACCGGGTTGGAGTGTGAAAGACAATCGATAATTTTCTATCTTAGTCCACAAATAGAATCAATCAATGTAGTTAATCAAACAGGGAACATAGATAATGTAACATTGAAAACTCCTTTAAACCCGGTAACTAAATCAGTTCAGTTCACGGTAAGTTTCTTTGTTTCAAGACAAATTATGAAAACAACATTTAGTTTAACCCACTCAAAATTTAGTTGGAGCATTTAAAAAGAATTGAATTAATTTTCTGATTCCAAATGAAATCCTTATCAACTAGTCTAAAACCGTTTACATAATCATATTGCTTGAAGAATGAATAACTGGTAACATCCAGATGTACACTTTTAGGCTTACTAGATTTGAATGTTCCGTGAGATAATTGTACATAATGATCTAACGGAAACATGTAATTTTTTTCGGTCCTATATTTGATATCAAGTAATAGAACAATTGACCAGTTGAACTTGACAAATTGATAATAGAATAGACACGTGTGTGATACACCAGTCAAATGGATCACAGTACCATATCAAGTGCCTAAGACACTCAATATGTAACAAACGATTGAGAACCAAATATGAACTACACGATATTTCATTGATGTGTAGCGGTGGAATTGAAATATGATTGGTCGTTCAGCTTGCACAAACAGGCATAGACTACTGACTATTGAATATGTGGTATCCTAAAACAACTCATTGTCATTGCATAAACATAAAGAGGATTGAGCGAATAGAATTTCCTTTCCCACGAAATCATTTAATATTGTACTACTATACATTCATATGTATAGTTATTTGGTAAATATGTCTACAGGATAGAAAAGATTTGAGATGGTGGAAAAGATTTGTAGCTCAGGTGGACCATTCTGGTGGAATTTGGTTCTCTGAGCTGAATGGTTTGCTCATCATAAAGTGATTCGAGACTCCAAATATCAAAATCAAACGAATCATGAGAGTTGTATCTGTTGATGTGATTTCTGACTGGTTGTAAAATATCAGCAAATCATTTAGCAAACAAATGATACAGAGAGTTATTCATATCACGTGTAGGACATAGGGATATGTTCTTCTCCAGGAACTTTTCGGAGTTCGTATAGTCCCAGTATAGCAGAACCCGATTGTCTGCGACGTTCATAGAGGTTACGAGTGATATTAAACTCATCTTTCATCTCCCTTAATATTCTAGTTAACATCTGTTCCATTTTTTCAGTCTCATCTTAGAAAATCTGACAGCACCAGGTCATATCCAGAATAGTTTGATGACGTCGTCCTGAAGACCCATAATGATAAATCCTTTGATCATCATAAAGTGATTCGAGACTTCAAATATCAAATGAGGTTGCGTAATAATCAGGGGTTAGAGAAGAATATTGAGACGAGAATAATTTACAAGTCAAAATCATGAAGGATAATTGTCCGCTTTACTCGGCCTTGCTTCTATCCAGTTCCTTTGATTGTGTAGATTATTTTGAAGGAAAACTCCTTTGGAGCGACGTGTCCAGATATTATCAAGTGTTTTTGCATCGAAGTGGTAACTGTTTTTCATCCTCCCTTTAAAAGCCACTCCAGGTATTGTTCTGAGATGAGTTTAGAAAGTGATCGCTTTATGCAGCCAATGTAACCTGCTCCACAGGATCAAGTAGATTTATAGATGCATATCGACATGACCGAGAGCGGAAATTTATCTTTATCATATCTGCGAATGGTAGGCCGGCTTGAGAAGACAGTACGGAGCTTAGTTGAACAGGTTTTACCCAAAGAATTTTGGAATACGTATATTAAAGAGTTCGACAGGCTTATCGCCTTTAAATTCGATATTCATAAAAAGAGTTTTCTTTCGAATTGTCGGTGCTGTTTTTTAGGATGACTTGGTTTTAAGTTCCTATCTACCAATCTAGGTGGATAACCGTTTCTGATTAGTATCTGACAATGTTGAAGTAGTTCGCCATCCACTTCATCAATAGAACATTTTCCTAGGCCTTGAGGATAAAGAGTGAGTCAAGTTTCTCTTTCTACTCAATAAGATCCAACTATGGAAATTCGTATACCGACCATTCCAGGTCGGTTTTAATATACAGATTTCTGTAAAGAACCATCTGAACTACTCTTCAACCGAACATCATGAAATTGTTCATTCACCTCTGCCTCCAACGTGAATTGAATTGAATGATGACAACTATTGGATCAATCCGAAATTTCATTGAGTTCCATTTTTTCTTCACAAATAATGAAAGTATATGATAATCTGAAGTATTTGAACTTATGTGTTAACTAAGAACTCCCGAAATAATGAAATTTAACGCAAGTAGAACAAGATGAGCACAAGTGAACGCAATATATTTGGAATTCGTAATCAGCGGACCCTCATGTAAGAATGAATCATTGGTTAGTACAAATAACACAACCGCCACAACTTAAATGGGAATGCGAATTTCTGTAACCGATTGTAGAATCTGCATGATCTAGGATGTACTTATTAATATTAGAATCAACAGCCGGAATTGGAACAGACTCACTTGGTTCCTGTAGTTGTAACCGGTCAACATGTCGGTTAAGTGTACTTAAATCATTGATATCTAGGATTTCAACCATAGATTTTCCAACCTTTTTCACCACAATTCTCGTGGCTAGTCGAACACCATTTCCACGACAACATGTAACTCCTGAAGACTCTAAACGCCTTATATTCGGACAAAGAATTCTTCCTTTGAATAGCTTTGATGTAGTCTCTTTCTTTACAGAATGCTTAGCATTTCTATATTGCAGTAGAAATGTGTCTACTCCCCCATCCGATTCATCAAATAATGAAGCAGCAATGAAATTAATAGCAGTTTCCAATATCCTGAAGAAATTTTCTGCCCAACCATTAGAACAAGGGTGCCCGGAAGCATTGAACAGATGTCTGCACCTTATATCACTCAATCAGGTAGTGACTACATTCGCAGCAAAATGAGTCTCATTATCAGTCAGTAATACCATTAGGTATCATCCATATATCTCCTGAATGAACGAAATCTCTCAATTATCGATCGAAGTATCGCATTTTCCAGATTAGCCATGAAACAATCAGCCAAGAGGAGAGCTAGTGGTGAACCCATTGCAACTTCATCAGTTTGTCTATAGAAATCATTATCAAACCTGAACCGCACATTGGGGGTACATCATAGAGATTGTTGATGGATAACGATGTAATCCAGGACGAGTCCCAAATAAGACGAAACGCGTGTCTTGGATTTCACTGCTAGCCACCATCCATCTCTGCTTATAATTCGTGTGACTTAAGGCAATATCGAGGCATTTCCCACAGTATGCACATATGCCAATAAGAGACTGATCAATCGCAGTCCTAAACAGCAATGAAAAGATTTAAACGAACAATCCCAAATGCATTATCCCGTTTAATCGTTTAAGAATGAAAATTTGATCAGTTAACACAGTGAAATCAGAACAGACGTCTCTTGTAGAAATCAGTTTATAACATAATACAATCACTTAAATTCATTATAATCAAACACTTCTACCTGAACTCATTAACCAATTACTACTTATTTCCACAGGGTATAATACAACGTTTTAGTGATCATTTTGTACTTGATCGACATAATGAATACACTAAGACTGTCAGTTTCGTTTTCAATGATCGATGAGCGCACAGTATCCAGCACGTTCAGGTGTGAGTGAGTGCTCTTTACAAGATTCAATCTTCCACTAGTTTTTATCTCAGACTTTTGGAGTTGTCTGAAGCTATCTGCTATGAATATGTTAATGTTGCGCATTACGACATAGCTGATGGTAAACACAAACTCGTCGAAATCTAATGCGTAAAATAACATTTATCATCGAAATCACATTATTTAATCCACTTAGCACACCACTCAGTAAATGAACTAAAAGATGCTAGAAAATGCTGTATACATGATAGTTATTGAACAATAAATACGTAAAGGATAACGTCCATCCATTTGGTTTGTTAACCAAAAATAAAATGATCAAACAAACGTTCAGTCAACTGAATCGGGAAACTTCGATTATTCATAAATGGATTGTAATTTTCGTTCTACAATATCACTGAAGTATTCAAAGGGCATAAATTCCATATGATGTTTGGTTTCAACAGCTTTTAAAAATTTCAGTCACTTCATGATTTGGTTTCATTGTTTAAACGCATTGTTATATAAAAGTAATATTTTTTCTACCACTTTCTGGGTCATAGTCAAACATTTTCGATCCCAAATTTTGATTTTAAAAGTGAAATATCACCCTGCAACACCTTTCTAAAACAAAAGTTCTATCTGTGTAGGTATTACTGGAGACAGACAAAAATCCCCACATCCATGTTTTATATCTGTTTACCAATAATTGCAGCACGTAGTTCCAATTCCAGGAAAATCTATTCAGCCACTGCAATCACTTCATATTACAAGTAGCTACTGTGAAATATTTACAGTATTTCTCCTCAAACATCCAAACTCATTTAAATTCATCGAAACATTGCTTCATTTACTGAACTGAGAGCACGAAATCGGTCTGATATCAGCATTCACTTTCTTTTGCAATGCCAATGAAACTTTTAAAGTTTATGCAATTCGGTTCACCAAACTCAGTGGAGGGGGGTAAATTACATTAGATTTCTTTAACTTCGTTGGTCATCATTTGAAATCATTTCATACTACAAATTGAAACATATAAATTTCAAACATATATCAACTGTTGCTCTGATACAACACTTATGGATATTATTTTTCTCGTTTCAGGCAGGACGTTTGTATTTTGGTGCAAAGTATGAAGTCATCTTTAGCCTGAAATTCAATCCATCTCTTAGTACAAGCATTGTGAAATATCCAGTTCTGGCTGAAATTGTGTGCAAACCCTATGAACGTAGTATTCCTGTAGTGAATAGCTGCGCAAAACAAAAGTTTTACAAGTTCAAATCTCCCCTGCGTGTTGAACTTGACTACACTTGTGAGTTTTATCAGTTTGTATTTTTCAAAATTCTTGTTATGACTGACAATAAATCAATATTATCAACCAAGGTATGACTGCATTATGGGAAATACATTTACTCTGTATGTCATATACGTTACCTTAAATGAAAAATGTCTTCCGTATATAAATCGCTTTCTACTTATCATCGTTAAAATTTCCGCTGTCGTGAAAACGATTACAATCTCTGCATTGCATCCGATTTATCATACTGTCATCAAGTATTTACACATACAAATACAAATTGACAAGTCATCATAATTTACTGAATTTTTCTCATGCTACTGAAATCATAATCGTTCTCAAAATGTGACGTGCTTGTTAAATGCTTACTGGAAAATGATGAGTTAGTCCGCATATATTTGGAGGCTTTCGATATTGATGTTTCATTAAATTATACAAAACTACTAGTAATGTACAAACGCAAACAACAGATAAAATGAATAATACTCATCCTCTTGTTGAGAAGTATCAACTAAATATGTTTACACCGTAACGATTCACAGTTCTCATACACTCTCCTATCAAAATGATCTCGAATTTCGTCAATCATAATGATAAGGAGTGTTTGTAATTGGTTACTTATTTACAGTCACATCACATTACTGTGAAAGAATTCTCAATCTTTTTATTGATTTTTGTGATAATTAAAATAATTCTGAATGACTATGCGATGTGTTATTTAATAATACTTTGCCTCGTATTGACCTTTTGCATTCAGATCCATACAACTTACCTCATTACGTTGCAATCCAGAACTCTTTTGTACAGTTGCCAGACCGTCAAGCAAATACATTTCTCAATGTTGGTGATCTTTTGTTTTATTGTGGACGTGCAATCGGTATAAATGGTTCATTAGATTTGGTGAGGCGTTGTTTCAAGATTAGTAAATTGCCTGAAAGAATTTGGTTTGGTAAGTAATCATAGACAATATGTTGTGTTACCCCTCGTGTAAGGGCATAGGTCACCCGCCAGCATTTGCCATCCAGCTCTGTTCCGGACAACCCCTTCCAACACTTTCCAGTTTCTTTTCACTCTTTTCATGTCTGCTTCCAATTCTCGATAGAGTGTGTTACCACTGAGCTATCCGGGCTGTGACTGTCCAAATTCACGTATGTCGGGTCCTTCGTGGTGCAGATCGAATCCTATTGATCAAGTTGCAATGTATCTTTTTGATGATGCTTGTAGTAATTATCCACGTTTCATCTCCGTACAATAGAACTAACTGTCTTGGATTTGGGATTGAAGATTGTGACTTTGATGTTGGTTGAGAGTTATTTTGAGTTGTGCATGTTCTTCAATTGTAGGAATGCTATCCTTGCTTTACCAATCCTCTCATTTACGTCTGCATCACATCCTACACGTTCATCGATACACTTCCATGTACATGAGAGTTTCCACCCCTTCCAGAGCGCCTTTTTATCAAGTGTGATTGGATTAGTGTTCTCCGTGTTCTATTTCAGTATCTTTACTTATCCCTTGTGTATGTTGAGGTCTACTGATGCAGAGGCTGCTGCTACACTGGATTTCTCGACATGTAGTTGTTGATGTGTGTGGGATAGGAGGGCAAGGTCATTTTGCAGTGGACGAGAACACCACAATCTGTGATGTCCAAGTCATCTGGCTGATCCTGATCTGTCCATTGTATTCGGTGCTTTCCCTCAGATGTTGAGGTCTTCATAAACCAGTAAACCACTTGTAGAAATATAAAGTTAGAGAGTATGCGATCTTGTCTGACACTCGTTCTCAATTGGAATACATGTGTCGTCCATGCACCACTTTGCACTCTAGTCTGTCGAATGCATCCCATTTGACATTGAATATCTTCTCAGGTACAACATAGTGTCGAAGAGGTTTCCATAAATTCCACCTATCTACAATATCCAATGCTTTTTTCATAGTCAGAGGAGTTGATGTATAGTTACGAGTTCCATTCAATTGATAGTCCTTAATGCTTCAGATAGAATATTGTCAGGTCTTTCTGCTTCACTACTCTTCATTCTATTGATGGTCATCTTAATTTTCTACATCGTTGTTGGAGTGACATCTATAGGAAAGTTTGTGTGTACTATTTTGATAACCAGTGGATTCAGTGGAGCTGTCCTATTCAAGAGTTCTTCGAAGTTTTCTATCCACCTGTTCCTGTTTTCTTGAATCTCGATGACAGACTAGGCTTCTTTGTGCTTGTTGGGCCTTGTTTACTATATTTCTCTGTTAGTTACTTCGTTGTGTCACATACTTATTTCATATTTCTTTTTCTTACAGCTTTTCCCACTGTCGTTGCTAGGTCTTCTACATATTTCTGTTTGGCAGCTCTATTCCTCCTCTTCACTTGTTTGTTTGCTTCAGTGTATTCAGCTGGTGACTTGGGTTTCTCTGTTCATGTTCGACTGTTGTTGTTAACTACTGTCTTCTTGTTCTTCCTTTCTTCAATATTGTCCAGCGTTTGTATAGAGATGCATTCCTTGTGATAATGTTTGTTGTGGTCCACAACCTCCTGACACGTTGAAGTTAGTGTCTCTTTGATCCCTTTCCAGTAAGCCACCATCGTAGTTTATTCGTCTTCTTCCAGTAGATCTTGTAAGGCTTGTAGCGTATTGTTGAGTGTTATCTTGAATTGGTTGAATTTATTAGTATCTGGAAGGAAGACTGTATTGAACCTGTTTGTAATGCTGTTTATTCTGTTGTCCAATGCTTCTTTAGCTACAGTTTTATCGTGGTGATCTGAAGCCATGTCAACTACTCTCCTGATTCTCACGTCTTCCATTGTCCTTCCGAATTTGTTAGTGATCCAAATATGATCTATCTGGTTCTGTGTAGTGTGATCTAGTGACGCCCGTGTAAAATTCGGTATGCGTTTGTGGGGGAATATCGTGCCACCTATAACCATTTCGTTGAATGCACATAGATTTGCATATCTGTCACCATTCTCGTTCCTTTCTCCTAGTCCCCAGTCGATGTCATCACATGATATCTTCAAATACAGTGTTGTCCATTCAGAATTCGGTGTTTAGGTCTCCCATCAGAATGGTCAGATCATTTCCTGTGCACTTCGCAATGATTGATTGCAGCCACTTGCTGAACTGATCTTTATCGTCATCATTGCTATCATCGGTGGGTGCATAACATTGGATAATAACCATTTTGATTTCGTCCTTCTTGTTTAGAAAGACGTGGTGAAGAGAATCAATTCCTTTAAATTAGTTTCGTGCTTCATTGGACAGCATCAGCACTACTCCCTGAGTGTGACCGGAGTCCTACAGAATCTCTCCTGAATCAATGCTTTTCTGTCCCGGTTGGGTCCGATGAGTTTCACTGATTCCGAGTACTGTCGTGTTGTATCTTCTCACTTCCGTTGCTATTTGACTGGTCCTTCTGACCTGCCACATTGTCCGGACATGCTATATCCCTAAATTAATGGTTGCTGTGTTTGTTAGGAGTGTCATCAAGCATATGAAATGCGAAGAATCTCGTCTTCCATTATGAGGCATCGTAATTCTACCGAATGTAGATCCTTCAAATAGGAGAGCAGAGTTTAAATAGTAAACGTTTTTAATCAGCTTGGTGATTATTAGCTTGATTGTTTTTCATGGGGTGGTGTTGCAGACACCTTGCCCTTCCTTATATTTTCCCCGGTTCTTGTGACCAGCGGTAGACCTAGAAGAGCCACAAGTGTAGTTATTTTAAAACTAAGGTTATTTAAATGATTCACTTACTGGTAATCATTTCAAAAATATTTCATCAAATTCCTGATTCACTGAAATTCTCGAAAATTTACACAAATCGTTAACAATAATTATCAGTCCTCCATTTCACTCGAGGTGAATACAAATTGGTAATGATTTGTTACTAATTAACATGAAATCCAGTTGCCATATCGTCCACATTAACATCAGTGTTTACTTCAGCACTATCAACATAAATCCAAAAAAATTTCGCAACAATATGTGACCTTTCTGGAGTTAACAAGTATTCATGCCCAGCATTTGGTTTGTACTGTAATTCAGTATCTTGAATTTCATACATACTACAGTACAAAACGACTAATCAAATTATACTAACATTTATCAGAATTAGAATGTTCGGTGTCGATTTCGATATGGTTTGAATATTTAATATTCAATTGAATAATCGTGTTAACTATGACAGTTAAATGTACACCAATGTAGCACAGTTATCTCCATATTTTCGTTTAGTTAGGGTGTATATTGCACACAATACAATATCTCTACATAATTCAATAGTAATTAATGAGAATATTGGAACGAGTAAACTAGACAAATTAAGTCATCCGAATCTCAAAGTTAATTGGATGCTTATTGATGTAACCTTTTATCTCAAATACAAACAATTTCTTTCTCCATTTTATAAAACTATAGAAATCCCAATAACAAATAAACGTAAGTTCAAATCAATACTGAATAAACCCTCAATACAAACCTATTTAGTTCAAATGTAGTGAACGAGAACACCAGAGAGTACAACCAAATGCATTACAATACAAAATTACAGAATATGTTAGTAAAATCTGAGAACCATAAACTAAATACTTCATTTACGAAATGTCAATCAATCGTCTCACACTTGATTGTTCCTTCGTTTCCACACTAATCGTTCTCTGTTCTTGTTCCCGTTTTTCTTCGATCTTCTTAACTTTTTACTTCCAGGCATTTCACATTCGATTGATGACACATACTACTTATATCTATCGACTTCAGTAGCACACACACAACCAAGATTTATATTATTCGACAAGTATAGTAATTCCTTCAGAATAACCAACCTTTTGATGTTCAGAGCTTACTACGTTGTAACAGGAGAGTATCCATTACCACCTCTGTTCGATTCTACTTGTTGCCCTATTTTTATCACATTCATGATGTGCTAAACAAGCTTAGTTAGTTGACATTAGATTAGAAATTAATAGAATAACAATTATGGGACTCCTCAGCAGTGTGCATCCACGATCCCGCACCCGCGAGATTCAAACCCAGGACCTACCAGTCTGGAGCCAGACCCTTTAACCGATAGACCACTGAGCCGGTATCCAAAGGTTTTAATGTCTAACTTCAAATGATCCACGAAATTGAGCAACCATTCACCAATGTCATCAGTGAGTTACTATCTCACAACAGACCTGGTTGAACTCCACCGGTTACTGCTTCTCACTAGAACTCCAGGAAATGCCTCATGGAGTCAGTCACTAGTGAGCACATGATCATTAAAAGAAGGGGTTTTGTGGAGATTTCAGTAATTTTATGGAGTTGAGATCATGAGTCAATTGAAGCTAGACCACCATGGAAAACCTGGAGGCACTGGACGGCCGTTTCTTCCTATTATGGGACTCTTCAGCAAAGCGCATCCACGAACCTTTTGATGTTCAGAGCTTACTACGTTGTAACAGGAGAGTATCCAGTACCACCTCTGTTCGATTCTACTTATTGCCCTATTTTTATCACATTCATGATGTGCTAATCAACCTTAGTTAGCTGACACTAGATTAGAAATTAATAGAATAACAATTATCAAAAATGATTATTCATGAATCTATTGACTGAATATCTGACTCAGTTTACAAGACATGATGTATAAAATCAAACATTATCATAATGAAGGAGAACAAATGTTATACATTCAAGTTCAACACCACAAGCTAATTGTGGCTGAATTTGTACTTGGAAACAGCATTTACAATTCATTCTCTTCATATTTTACTATTAATTATACAAGAAAACTTGAACTGACTGGCATAAGAGATTTCGTTATTCGTCTGGGATAAATAAAGTATTTTAATAAGTAGTAAATACAAACTTTTAGTATTTTAAACTGTTCATTGAACAGATTCATAAAATACATAGTTACAAACAATTTTGATTTATCGAAAATTTTGTTTAAGCTTATTTTGACAAGATAATGTAAGATATATTTCGACTGATTTCTGTTCGATTCTCAGATGTTGGACCATCTGTTGAACAAATCATAGCATACACAAATCCACTTGGCATATTGTTCGGTTTGGGATCAAATGGTGGAGGTGCAGTAATGAGTAAGGATTTGGGAGAAACATGGATTTCAATCAACTCATTTATGTATCAAAAGACTTTGAATACGTCGACTGAAATCATCACAGCAAGTGTCATGCCTTGGATCTCATTCATTGGATCAATTGACAACACACTGTTTGAGTCATTTTGCAAGATGCGAGTGGCTCAACAATGGAATGGTAAGTAATATATAGTAACTAGATGATCAATCTTGTTTTCTGTCATCACACATGAAAGTGTGCATCAAAACCTAAGATTATTCAATATTTCTTCAAGTTTCACAGCCATGTCAATTTACTTACTTACTTACTTACGCCTGTTACTCTCAATGGAGCATAGGCTGCCGACCAGCTTTCACCAACCCACTCTGTCTTGGGCCTTCTTTCCTAGTTCTATCCAGTTCTTGTCCATTCTTCTCATGTCTGTCTCTATTTCTCGGCGTAATGTGTTCTTTGGTCTTCCTCTTCTCCTTTGACCTTCGGGATTCCATGTGAGGGCTTGTCTTGTGACACAATTAGGTGATTTCCTCAAAGTGTGCCCAATCCACTTCCAGCTCTTCCTCCTGATTTTTTCCTCCGCTGGAATCTGGTTTGTTGTCTGCCACAGTAACTTGTTGCTGATAGTGTCTGGCCATCTGATCCGAAGTATCTTGCGTAGACAGCTGTTAATAAACACTTGTATCTTCTGGATAATGGCTTTCGTAGTTCTCCACGTCTCCGCCCCATACAATAGAACTGTCTTGACATTTGTATTGAAAATTCTAACCTTGGTGTTGGTTGACAATTGTTTTGAGTTCCAGATGTTCCTCACTTGTAAGTATGCTGCTCTTGCTTTGCCGATCCGCGCCCTCACATCTGCATCTGATCCACCGTGTTCATCAATGATGCTGCCCAGATATGCAAAGGTTTCCACATCCTCCAAAGCTTCTCCATCAAGTGTAATTTGATTGATGTATATTGTATTGTATCGGAGAGTCTTGCTTTTCCCTTTGTTTATATTGAGACCTACTGCTGCTGAGGCTGCTGCTACACTGGTCGTTTTCTCCTGCATTTGTTGTTGCGTTTGTGATAGAAGAGCCAGATCATCCGCGAAGTCTAAATCGTCAAGCTGCATCCTGCCTGTCCACTGTATCCCGTGATTTCCTCCAGATGTTGATGTCTTCATAATCCAGTCGATCACCAGGAGGAAGAGAAAGGGTGAGAGTAAGCAACCTTGCCTAACACCGGTCTTTACTTCAAACGAGTCGGTGAGTTGTCCTCCGTGGACGATTTGGCAGTTTAGTCCATCATAGGAGTTCCGTATGATGCTGACTATCTTCTCAGGCACGCCGTAATGTCGAAGAAGCCTCCATAGTGTCGTCCTGTCCACACTATCAAATGCCTTCTCGTAGTCGATGAAGTTGATGTAGAGTGATGAATTCCATTCGATTGATTGTTCCACAATGATACGTAGAGTTGCGATTTGATCTGTGCACGATCTATCTTTACGAAATCCAGCCTGTTGATCTCGAAGTTGGGCGTCCACGGAATCCTTCATCCTGTTTAACAATACCCTGTTGAAGACTTTTCCTGGTATTGAGAGAAGAGTGATGCCCCTGTAGTTATCGCACATGTTGAGATCGCCTTTCTTCGTTATTTTGATCAGAAGTCCTTCTTTCCAGTCTGTTGGTACTTGTTCTTCATCCCGAATCTTACTGAAGAGAATGTGGAGTATCTCTGCAGTTGCTGTTACATTTGCTTTCAGTGCCTCTGCCGGGATGTTGTCTGGTCCCGCTGCTTTGCCACTCTTGACTTGTCTAATGGCCATGCTGATCTCTTCAATTGTTGGTGGGCCAACATCGATTGGGAGGTCTGTGGGTGCTACTTCGATGTTGGGTGGGTTCAGTGGAGCTGGTCGATTCAAGAGTTCCTTGAAGTGTTCTACCCACCTTTCTCGTTGTTCTTCAATGTCGGTGATTACTTTGCCTTCCTTGCATTTCACTGGTCTTTCTGGCTTACGGTAATTTCCAGCAAGTTTCTTTGTTGTATCATACAGCTTTCTCATGTTTCCCTCTCTTGCAGCCTTTTCCGCTGTCGTTGCTAAATCTTCAACATATTTACGTTTGTCGGTTCTGATGCTCCTCTTCACTTGCTTGTTTGCCTCTGTGTATTCGGCTTGTACCTTGGCTTTTTCCGCTCTTGTTCGGCTGATATTGATTGCTGCCTTCTTGTTCCTTCTTTCTTCAATTTTATCCAGTGTACCAACAGTGATCCATTCTTTGTGATGGCGCTTCTCTTGGCCCAGAACCTCCTGATATGTTGAAACGTTTGCCTCCTTGATACCTTTCCAGTTGCTCTCCACGGTAGTTCCTTCTCCATGGAGTAGATCATGAAAGGCCTCGAACCTATTGCTGAGGGCTATGTTGAATTTGTTGAGTTTGTCTGCATCTCGAAGAAAGGCCGTATTAAACTTTTGTAATGTTGTCCGTGCCGTTGTCCAGTGCTTCTTGAGTTTTAGTTTCATCTTGGCCACCAGCAAGTGATGATCGGATGCTATATCAGCCCCTCTTCTGGTTTTCACATCCTCCATCGTCCTCCTGAACTTTTTGTTGATGCAGATATGGTCGATTTGATTCTGCGTAGTGTGATCCGGTGAAATCCAAGTGGCTTTGCGTATGTTTTTGTGTGGGAATATGGTGCTCCCTATGGCCAGTTTATTGAAGGCCCATAGGTTTGCAAATCTCTCACCATTTTCGTTCCTTTCTCCCAGTCCATGTCGTCCCATGACGTCTTCATATCCAGTGTTGTCCATTCCAACCTTGGCATTGAAATCTCCCATCAGAATTGTCAGGTCCTTGGTTGGGCACTTCTCGAAGATTGACTGCAGCCTATTGTAGAATTGGTCTTTAGCGTCTTCATCGTAGTCGTTGGTAGGCGCATAGCATTGGATGACGTTCATTGTAATGCCCTCTGTGTTTGTTTTGAAGGAGGATTTGATGATCCTTGGTCCATGAGATTTCCATCCAATAAGTGCATTTTGTGCTTTTCTGGACAGCATCAATGCTACTCCTTGTGTATGTGGGGCATTTTCTTCTTCATGACCGGAGTATAACAGAAGTTCTCCTGAAGATATTCGTTGTTTTTCAACCTGCGTCCAATGTGTCTCACTGATCCCAAGCACCTCCATGTTGTATTTTCTCATTTCTGCAGCGATTTGGAAGACTCTTCCGGTCTCCCACATTGTTCGGACATTCCATGTACCTATAAAAATGGTCGCTCTGGTTGTAAGAAGGTGCATCGGCCTCATGACTTCCGAAGGAACTCGGCTTTCATCATGAGACGTCATAATTATTCCTTCTACTCCCAGGGCAGAGTTTAAATGGTTAGAATGATTTTTTTTAGCGAGTTGGCTTTTCTACGGGATGGGGTCGCTAACCCCATGCCCAACACTCCTCCTTTACCCGGGCTTTGGAACGGCAGTAACCCCCAGAGGAACTACAGGAGGAGTTAGCCATGTCAATTGCAACCGAACAAATATCTCTTGTGATATGCACTAGATAGCAATAGCAATATGTGTAGCATTTATTTCTAAGACAGTCGGTTTTTCCATTGGTGAATAATCTGTTTTTCACACGGTTGTTGTTTAATAGTAACTTTATAAATTCCTAATAATCCATAAGGCGACTTTTCTCACTTAATGCTGACATGAAGATGTTAACGCTACATTCATATTATTTTGTTAAGATGCACATAGATAAACAACGAAATTTTAATCTGAATCGGGTGGTTTCTATTCATTGATTCTACCGTTTGCATGGTTATAAGACTTTACTCATTGTATACTGGTTCGACTACGTTCTACTATCTAGTATTGTTTAAATAAGAGAGATTATTATTGGAAGTATAACAGGAGATTACCAGATTTCTATCACATACATGTTTGGTTGCACTGTGGATACGACACGCATTCGCGAACACATCGTAACATAGTTATGGTTCCATTATTAACGCTAAAAATAGATTTATCAAGAACGATACTTGATTTGAAGTTTGAGAAGTGAGTTTATCGACTGATTGATCACCGTTTAATCTTGTTTGTTTTTATATACATCTCCTCTAGTATGCATCAACGGAATGTATGCGAATGTACTTCTATTGGCAAACTGGACTAACACCTGTCCAAACATCAAACCTTTTTAACTGATCCATTACATTCACAGTTGGGATACAAAAGTTTGTTCAAATATTTGTGCTTTTATAACGTGTTCATTTTATGTTGTGTGCAATAACAGAATATTTAATTAATTTTCTATTAAATTACTTATCTTGCAACTAGCCTGTTTTTAAAATAAAGTACATATTAATCACATTTGCATTATATTCTGACCTAATGGAGAGTCGCTTAAGTAAGAATTTAACACTGTTGGTTGCTATTTAACTATTTTCTTGTGTAAGAACAGGATTTTCGTAAATTACAGCATCAGTAATATGTCAACGTTTAGTTTCAAGAAGTTTGTCAATGTACTTGATAATTGTGCTATAAATGGTGATCATCGAACTGTGACGCTTACTTTAGTGAAGGATAAATTAGATTTGCAACACATACTGGAGCCATCTGAAGCAACATGAATATGGTGGGTGAAATTTGGATACTAGAATTTAAGGAAATAAAACATAAGAATAAAATTATTGATCTTCCTCCAGACTAAACCATTTGTCACTCAGATTGATGAAGTCAAAGGAAGCCAACTGAATATATTGTTTCAGATATTTTGTTACTTCACATCAATCTGTTCAGTAGTCAGGGGACTTTACTTTAATATAAATCTAGCGTTCTCCCAACTGAAAGAGAATATAACGCTATTACGGACCTTGGTTTTATATTTCATATCTCTTTACAATATCAGGTGATAACAATCTGTATTTCACTAGAGTGGTAAATCTTCCTCAGTTTTGCATCTATCTATGATACCAGCAAGTTATTTGGCTGATGGCCACCAAAGGCGAATTAGTTGGAAATGTACTATTTGTACTATTTCAGATGAACAAAATATGCGCCTTATTTCTGGATACCCTTATGACACATAAAACTATGAAGTAAATTCTGTGTCCCACAATCCAGTGACTTTACTGAGAAACGGCATTTCCAACTAGTTCAGCAACTTCTTTGTTAAACGTATTTAGACAAATTATTTGTGTACTCTCATAAAATTATGGAAAATTTATATAGTTTCAAGGTTCATATATAAATAAACCTCATTACGACATCGATAGGTTAAAAACTATATGGAAGACAGTTTTTAAATTAGTTCTTCATAGATGAAAAGAAGTAAATCAAATGGTAGCTGTAGCGTACATAATTTTTCAACTGATGTATGTATAGACAAATGGAAATTAGTTTAAATGACTTGGATTAGTATTTATCGAAGAGCACATTCATTTTAAACGAGTTGTATCATTGCTCTATGCCCTCTAACGTGAACAAACCACTAGAAAATTATTCGACCAGACTCTCGTATTTTATTTGGGACACTATTTACCAACGCTCATAAAGAAACAGTCTCCGAACTAGAGGAAGTTTGAGATCAAAGCCAACGAAGCTTCCACATCAGTAACAAAACAAGTATATAAACAGTGTATATTCTACACTGGATCTAAGCATAGTAGATAAAAGAAGGTATGTGGAATTAATGGTAAATGGTGTTCATATTCGATTGCGATTGAATACAACATCAGATATCACATTGATCTCTTAACAAACATGGAATTTAATTGGTTGTCCGCAAGTATTACCGACTGGGCACACCGCACAGAATGCATCAGGGGATACATTAAAGCTTGTTGTAATCATAAAATGCTCTGTTAAATTCCGAGATAACTACTTTACAGACAATTGTTATTTAACAATCAGGCATGATTTAGACGTTATCCGTATATATTGGGTAGACAAATTAAATCTATGGGATGTACAATTGAGTGAAATATGCGCGATGAAAAGGGATTGTGATATACTCATATTTCATGTAACTAAGATAGCCATAATGATAAGAGACCTTTTGTAGAAACATAAAAACTTGTTCCAGAATAAATTGGGATGCTGCACTATTGGGAAGGCAAAGTTATACTTACGACAGGATGTAAAACCTATTTTTTGTCCGAAAATTCAAGTTCCATATGCAGCTATTGATAGAGTTGACAAAGAATTAGATCGGTGTTATGAAACTGGTTAATTATTCGGCATGGGCAGCACCAACTATAGTAGTTGAGTAAGCGAACGGAGATATTCACCTTTGCGCAAACTTTTCAACGAGATTAAATGACAGGAATCTTCTAAAAATATTAACCATTGTGATAACATACATCTGTACCATCTCCATTTGCAGTATCTAATGCATCCTCACAAGTTCTCAGTAACTGTTTACATCCCACCTCATAATTTCTCAGTCCTAATCCTATTCGTTATAATGCTTTGGATTTATGACTTTTTGGAAATCCCATCACGGTAGTAAACTATCAATTGAAAAGCAAAGTAGCACATATACTCAATGGTTCCACAGGAATGATAAAATTCCATTTTGTACTTTCAACATGTCGTTCTTGCCTGCTTCGATGACTTCATTCGAGTGTTCTGGAAATCCATTTGAAAATAACTGATATTTTTGATGCATTTTCTATACAGATGCTGCCTAACATTTCATAGATGTTCAGTGTTTAATTTTGACTGAAAATCATAGTGGTACAGGTTATGCTACGGTTTGACGGGCAACCATGGTGAAAATATTTGTATCTACATTTTGCTGCCTACTGACTAATTAATCAGTAGCCATACGACTAACAAGAAAGGCAACAATGAATTGGTTGTCGAATTTATCATTTAGGATAATGTAAGAGGCTTGGTATCTAATATTCCAGTCAATCAATTGTAACACATGTTCTATACCATTGTATACAAATAAGGACTAGTTGTAAAATACTGTGAGATATTTTGATACTACATGTAAGAGTTTATATAGAGATGTTCTTATTACCTGGCAGCATGAAATCAATTGTAAGCTGGTGATGGAAACCGGGAAGTTGTTAAACTATGCAGAGGTCTCGTTGGACTATTAGTTAGAAAGCACATGTAAATGCTTAATGATGTCTCAAAATAACTATTATTTTACGGAACAAACACTGCATTTTTACTCTCATTGTAATATAAAAATAAATGAAATTTGGCAGACCTATCACTTTTTCAACAGTCAAATCCACTAGTCGATTTAAGCAAGACCACCATTGAAAACCTGGAAGCACTGGACGGACGTCGCAACGAATTTTATATGAAACTGTACAATTGTATATGTGAAGGTGCATATGGATGGTGAGGAGTAGGAAAATGAGAAATCTTACACCCTAAAACTAGATAAGTACATTTTGAAAAACTATTTTTTGAAATAATAAATAACAAAACAATAACAGATCATGCCCATGGTAAATAAAAGGGCAATCCATACTACTTATACAAATAAAATTCTGGTTTAGGTAAAGCATGTATTGTATTGAAAAGCGGTGGTTGAAGATTCAGGAAAGTCTTAGGAACAATTACCAATTCAGTCATATGATTACAGCTTACTAAATATTCAAGAATGCGACCTCTATCCATTTTCCACTCTCCCCTCTAAGAATCTAACAGCATTATGTCATTTTAACAGTGTTGGCAGTGAACAACGACTCTCACCTATGCACCTTGCTCCACAAATGTAAATCAACTGAGAGTTGGAAACAAAGATGATCAAACATATGGTCATACATTTTAATGATATGGAAGAAAGATTTTTGCTTTTGATAGTTGGCCTTAGCTTTGATTCATAGAACTTACGTGTAGTTGCTTCGGAAAGACCGATTTTAAGTACACAGAAATTTTTACAGGCCTAAAATTTCAGATTCATTTAATGCACATGTTGGAAACAAAATTTCTGGGGTCATTATTCAATGTCTACTGTACACTCGGAGAACAAGAAATGAGAAGTTCAAAATATGAAAATGATCCAGAGAGTTATAAAGGAGTTATTAAACAAATTTCTTCTCAGCTTCAATGTTCTTGAGGAAAAATAATGAGAATAAGAATAATTTACTTTATTATTATTATTATTATCAACCATTACATTAGAACAATAATGTTGTGACCATAATCAAAACAATAGTTTATTAAAAGATACAACGCAGACAATAGAAACTTCTTAAAGGTTAGTAGTTCATTTTTCCATTCATGTTATTTGTTGACCTGAATTTGTATGAGTTTTAAACAATAATTCCAGGTTTTGTTTTAAATGTGTTACATAGTAATAAATTGTTTCATGAACGAAAAGTTATTTAAATTTAAGTAACTTGTAAGTAATCTCTTGTAAATCAGAGAGGGTTTTGTGGAGAATTTAGTATTTCATAGTTGAAATCATTAGTCAATTGAAGCTAGACCAACATGGAAAACCTGGAAGTACTGGACGGCCGTTTCGTTCTATTATGGGACTCCTCCTCCTGGGTTCGAATCCCGCACTCGCGAGATGGACCTACCAGTCTCAAGCCAAAGCCCTTAACCGATAGATCACTGAGCTGGCATCCAACGGTTTTAATGTCTAACTTCAACCAATCTCTTGTAAGATATTATTTGTATAGCCCACTTATTAAATTTATGCAAAAAAATGAAATATAAACTTGTGATCTTTTTTATTAAACCTCACCAAATGTTTAGTTTACTTGAACCAAAAAGTAAATATAAGATCAAGTTAAAGTGATCTTTCTCTGAACTGAATCTTTGTTTTCTTGACTGAGTTGTTATGTTTCATTCATTTGTTCAAGGATAGTTGACAAACAATAAGTAAAATAAGTACTTTTCATATAACAAATGTAGAATTACATGTAGATGATATCTATAATTATTTTTTCAATGAAATGGACAACAGACGATTGTGATAATGAGTGTATACTATTAGGTACAACACATTTCAGTAGTAGTGTTTGGAATAATATTCCCGTATTGTTACATAAACATGCATCACCCTAGTTTGATTAGTGTTGTTTTGGTTTTTAGTAGCTAGAGCTTCAGTAAATAGTTTAAAAGTTGAATTTTTCCTATTTATTTATTCTAAAAACTGACGAACGTTGATGATATGAACATGGATTAACTGTCGCACTATGGGACCGTTTGATGCTAGAGAACCTAT